TGTATGTATGTATGTATGTATGTATGTATATATGTATGTATATATGTCATATAATTTTGACTTAACTGCTATGGTTGATGTTTCTATCACTTGTGACTGGTGGAGTCTGGGTTAATAACAATTCTCAACCTTAGAAAAGAATGCCATTCTCTCTCTCTCTTTTCTTAGTTTTATGTAGGAGACCTAGATTGTTCCTAATGGACATAATTGTCTGACCTTGAACAAGCCACAACCAAGTGCTCTCAACAGCAAATGAGGATGCTCAATTTCCCAGGTGTTTTTCTGTCCTGAAACTGTGTACATTATGAATGGTCTCTTAACAACCTTTCACATTCACAGAATTAGATACAAAATGACTTTCTTCAAATATATGGATTCAAATTATTAAAATACAATTTTAGTGGTTTATTTACACACCAGATTTGTAAACTATTGAAGGCCTCTTTGCTTTAGCAAGGCATATAATAACCTCACACTCATGACACACATGTGTCACCTCTAATTTCTTATTCTTTTAAAGATATCATTTTTATTTTTAATTATGGGGAGAAGGGTTGTGCACATAGGTAGGGTCCTCAGGAAGGACAAAAGGGGTGGTCAGAGTCCCAGGAACTGGAGTTACAGGGAGTTGTGGGCCACCTGATGTGGGTGCCGGGAACTGAACTCAGATCTTCTCCAAGAGCAAGCTACTCTTAACCAGTGAAGCATCTCTCCTGGCCCTCATCTCTAATTCCAATACCTGAGAATTTCCACTACCTGTGCCTACTCCCGATGTGCGAGACCCAGTGTAGCTTTGCTAATCTATCTTACCTGTAAACATTCATATAACATAGGTTGACAGTAAATAGCAATAGTGTCCCAGACAGAAAGTTAAAACTCTCAGGAGACAACCTTCAAGCCGAGCTCACCTTCCCGCGTCCCTGCCTACTTCCTAGTCCAACACTAATCCCTTCTCTTGGGAGACTTTGCTGTTAGCCAACAGGACTGGGATGGCTAGTCCATGTTATTTGCAGCTCTTTGTGTGAGTTTGCTCTTCCTGGCATTTAATATGAACTTCTCTCAATACAACCACAGATTCATTTCTTAATGCTCTATGTTTTAGATCAAAAGCACTGAGAGTAACCCAGGTGACTCAAAACTCAATTCTCTGGGGCAGTCAGAAGTAGCAAGGCTGGGGGACTGATTCTTCTGGCCTGCTCTTAAATGAAACCAACAGATGCCTCAGCTGGCCCATTCATCAGATGTAATGGACCATACCTGGACTGAAGCATGTTCCGCAGCATCACTCGAGGGACTCTTTCGCGGAGGCCCGGCCACTTGGCCCATGCTCTCGGAGATCAGGAGGCTCTCCAGCTGCAGAACAGGAGGAAGATGTCAGGTGAGCTTCTGCAAGCCTTTCAGAGTGTGACCATGGTAGCTGGAAGCTTTAGAACGGCAGGACACTGCTCCTGGAAGATCTCTGTGTGTGCTAGTTGGCTTTGTACACATTTCTAATTTCCAGTCTCAGTGTCTTTTCATGTAAGGTGGGGTCACAAGACCTCCTAGAGTAACAGTGAGACCCAACTGAGGCCATGCAAATCTTAGCAACTATGCCAGCTCGAGTGTCTTCTAGTCCTGAGAGACAGTGCTGTGCTGGTGAGAAACCACACCAGCCGCAGATGCCTCCCTCTCCCCAGCCTACCCACGGGATAAATAAACCCCATGAAAATTTCACCCTAGACTCTGCTGCCCTTCACCACAGCCTTGACACGTCACAGTCCCACCTCTGAAGAACTGGGAGGCAATCTCTGCTTCACTATTTTACCTCAGACTGGGGCTTCCTTACATCCTTGTGGGTGGGTAGATTTATTAAAGAATCTAATGACAGCTGTATCTCTCAACCTTATCAAAAAGGAGCTGCAGGTTCCCTTACGACTCATCATGGGGCTCATGGATTCCCTGGCTAAGATGTCTGCCTTAGCTGGCCTTCAGTGGCTCCTTGCCGTCCCATCTGTCCTCAGGCCAGTGTTCCTGAGGCTCACATGTTCATGGGTCACCTGAACAGGGTAACAGTCCCTCACGTCCCAGTTTACAAAGTGCCACGGGGCAAAGTGACACACTCTTTCCTCAGCAGCAGTCAGAGCCAGCTTTGTCCCTTTCATGGCACCTTCCCAAAAGACATGTTCTCTTGGCTCTCTCAAAATTGGTGGCCCTCACAGAACCAGGGGTCCCGAAGCGGGTCTATGCCCCCACCTTCCCTTTTGGCCCTTTCCAGCCCTGGAGACATTGTGTCCTGCTCCAGGCCCGCCCCCACATGCCTGGTTGTCACCTGTCCTGTGGCTTCACTAACAAGTGCCACTCTCCTATAAAGCCCCTCTGGGCTCAGCCTCCAGGGCAAGAGGAGAGGATTAAGACACCAGAGTTGAAAGATGCTGGGCTTCAGAAGCGAGCACTAAGTAGGCTTGAATAGCAGAGTTTTAAAGGCACCCGTGAAGGTTCAGCCTCTCCGGATCCCTTTGGGCATTCAAAGCCACAGCTCCTGATCCTACAAATGAACCAGGACCTTCATACTTCTACATTTCCATGATTTCAATGGGGAAAATATTGCTGGGGGCTTTGAACTCTCAAGCATACAGGTGTCTCCCCAAAACATGAAGCCAGAGACACCCCTCAGGAAATGATGGCAGTTTGAGCTGGAAGACTTAAAGTCATGTGATGCTGAGAAACTGAGGTTTGGTAAAGCCAACTTCTTTTCCCAGATCCCATGCAGGTATGAAAGCCAAGCTGACTCACCCCCAAAGGCCCAGGTAAACAGTCCCTTACCAGAAATACTCGGGCAGCCCAGAGCTCTCCCTCCCCCATACACCTTACAAGCGTGCACAGCAGGCCCCAAAGGCTGACTCCCATCCACAATGACACACCCATTTCCTCAATGGCTGTTTCTTACATGGACTTGACAATGCTAAATGGCCCTCCCTCATGACCTCACTTGGCTTAATTCTACAAAGAATTTTTCCAAATAAAGTCACATTCTGAGATAGTAGGGGCTTAAGACTTCAAAATATGAACTTGGGGGGACCCATCCCAGCTCCCAACAGTTTGCATATTCATAAAAGAGAAAAACTCTCTTGGTGAGATAACAAAGGATGATGGCCTGGTGAGAGATTTTGCATAACTGTATGGTTCCAGCCTGTCACACCAGGGTGAGGACAGCAGCCCTCCTAGGGAGGCTTCTCAGCACAAAGGCAGCTTCTGTTACCCACCAGGTGAGTGGGGTTCTGCTGGGGTCTGTCCTGTGACCATATGGTGTTTAAACACACCAGGTCAATACGGGAAAACCTCAGACAAGCCTGGGTCCTAGTGAACTGAGGGTGACTCACTGCTGTCAACATTTAGTTTTCTCGTCCGTAGAATGAGGCTAACCTATCCCAAACACTTCACAGGAAAATGGGGACTAGAACATAAGACAAACAAGTGGCCTTATGTGAACAGTAATTATGCCAAATAAATTAAAATGGTTCCTTTTCCTTTAACAACCATGCCCCCATCTGCATGCACACAGATACAAGCATGCTTACATAAACATATATACAAGCACACACATACAAACATGCATATACACACATAAACACAAACATGCATGTATGCACACACATAAACACAAGCATGTGTACATATGTGTGTACACACACACACACACCATTTCCAAATACAGGTATATCAAAAGTGGTGTTTCATAGTGGCCCATTAGATGTGGGCCACTAAGTCTGTTTAGTTAACACTGAATGACTTTTGAAGACAATACTCTTAACTCTGATGAATAGCACATGGAGAAGGCTCACTTGCTGCTGCCAGGAGGCTCTGTGGGTCTTGTATGGAGAGGGAAGGGCCTGAGCAAGGTCCTGAACAAGGTAGAGGCAGTGGCCGGCCATTGGGTAAAAAGGATACTTGAACACAAGCTAGCTTTGGGTGTGGCAGATCTGCAGATGTACTGCAGTGTGGTGGTTATGGGCCAGGTTCCTAGAGCTGGCTTTGAATCCAGAGGCACAAACTTGAAGAGTTACTTAGACTCATTGTGCCTCAGTGTCCTCACCTGTAAAATGGAGCCAATATGGTGCTGACTTCATAATGCTGCTGTGGTGCTTCAGTGGAGTAATACTTGAAGAGGTCTTAGAATGATATCTGGTGAGTAGCAAGTTACTTGAGGCTGTTAACCACTGAGGCTCATCCTGTTGATTTGTGAGCATGAACTGATCAGCTGCTGTATGCTGAACTCTAGTTGCACACACACAGCCTTGTTTCCCCAGAAGTACACAGCAGAGGTACAAAGCCCAGCTTACATAATACTTTATGGAAAGTTACAAAGACCAGCCCAGAAAGTCATGAAAAGCAGATGACTACCTCATGACCTGACCTAGAAGAGACTGTAGACATGGAGTCGGGTAACCAGAAAAGCACACCACCAGTTGGTACAGTCTTAAAGTAAGAGTAGTCATGTTTAGGGACAAGGCAGAAGAGATGTACATTTAGAGGCTCCATGGCAACCAACAAGCCACACTGGCTTGGAGGAACACAGCATGAGTAGTGGGCGTAGGAAGCGCATCTGAGAAGCGGGTGGGAGGGAATCTCCTGGTGGCCCAGTGGTTTCTGTTAAGGACTTCAGCTGAGTGCTTCTAAAAGAAAAGGAGGCAGAGGAAACACCCTAAAGTCCCAGCCATAGGAATCAGGCCACAAGTCCTGAGCAGCCCACGGTGAGGGAAGAGCAGGGCAGCACCTGGGGACAGAGGGCAAGTGCCCAGGAGTGACTAGAGAAAACAAGGCCCACTGGGAAAGCCAAGGGAAACCCAAAGAACTCAGCCTCATGGAGATAGGAATTCATCCTGTCTCCTACCTCAGAGGATCAGGAACATGGAGCCCATGAATGCCATCTGGATTTAGCCACCAGGGGGCAATAAAGAGCCCGGGGAGTATGGGGCAAGAACAGTAAGGGAGGGTTAAGAGGGAGGGGGACACCATGGAAACAGAAACAGTGGGCAAGGGCAGTGTCCTTGGCCACTCTTTGGGAAACTAGTATCAGAGGGAATGGAAGAAGCAGGAGGGAGGAGCCAAAGATAGTGATGGAAATGCGAAAGGAACAGCACCGACCCAGGGGTAAGTAACAGAATGTCTGCTCCTCTTCTCCCCATCTGAGAAGCTAAGGTGTCAGGCTGCTCAACTTAAACGTTTTACGTAGCCTGACTTTCAGGAGAACCTGATATAGAGGCTTAGGAAGTAACGTAAGAGCCTCCACCTCATTCCACAAATCCTGTCCCGAAGCCTTGCTGTGGACCTTGTTCTCAGACTCAGCAGTGTTCAGTGTGCTTTTAGATTATGATGTGTTTATCATGTTAATGGGTGACTTTTCCCCACAGTTTTTTAAAAAACTATGTTTTCAAAGGCCGTGCATCTACTACAACTAATTCAAAATATTTTCAGCATCTCTCCAAAAAGTTGTGTATATTAGCAGTCATGCCCTCATTTCTCTAGCCCCAACCACTAATCTAACATTGCCTCTTTGATTTTGCATATTTGAGTGTTTTATAAGACTCCTGCCATGTGTTTTGACACTGGATTCTTTCCATTCAGGATAGAGCCTTCAATGTCCATGCATGTTGTGGCACCAGGGCTCGGCTCCATTTCCCACTGGCATATTAACCCATTGTATGGACATGCTGAGTTCTGCTTACTTCCCAAATTAATGGACATTTGGGATCATTCTTAATCAAGACAACTATGAATAATGCTGCTTCTCACACGTACCTTTTTGTGAAAAGATATATTTTCAATTCATTTGGAGTTGGAAGGTCACATGATAGGTATATGTTTAACTTTTTAAAGAAAAAATTTTGAAGAAATTATTTTCCCAAGTAGCTCTGGCCTTTTCCAGTCCCACCTCCCATGAGTAGGGTTATAATGTCCTTACATCCTTGGAAGAACTTGTTTTGTGCGTCTTTAATTAGAGCCAATTACTATGATTTGGGTTCCCTTTTCTCTAATGATGAATGCTGCTGGGTGACTTTTAATGTGTCTACTGCTCACTGACGCAGCTTTTGAAGATGTATGTATTCAAATCCTTTGCCTATTGTTCAATTGAGCTGTTCTTTCATTCTTGAGTTGTGTGAGTTCTTTACATAGTCTACCCAGACATTCCTTATGAAACAGATGATTTGAAATATTTTATTCCATTCTGTGAGTTGTATTTTCACTTTCTTGATTGTGTCTTCAGTCTCATAGACATTTTTATGCTGAAAAAGTCCAGCTTACACATTTTTATTGGTTGTCCGGGAAATAATAGGGAACCCCTGCATCCTGGAGATTTGCACCTATGTTTTTTTCTTCTAGAGATTTTGTAGTTTGGTTTCTCACATTGGCTTCTATCATCCATTTTAAGTTAACTTTTTGTTTACAGTGTGATACAGGAATCCAAATTTATTTTTCTATGTGGTTATCCAATGAGCCCAGAACCATTTTTAGAAAATAATCTTATTTCTGACCTTGGTGCCTTGATGCTTGTCAAGTACCAAGTGACCACAGATGCATGAGATTATTTCTAGATACTTGGTTCTACTTCTTTGAAATCTGTGTTTATCTTTATCCCAGACCACAAAATATTGATAACTACAGAAATACAGCAAATTTTTAATTTGGAAAGTATGAGTTCTCCAACCTGATTGTTTTTTCAAGAGCACTTGGGCTTCCTAGAATTTTATATTACCATGTTAATTTTAGACTTATGTTGTCAATTTCTATCCAAAAAGGCAATTGGAACTTTGACATAGATTGTATTAAGTATGTAAAACAATTTGAGGAACTTAATATCAAGTCTTCCATCCCATGGATGCAAGATATGTTTCAGTTTTAAGGCCTTTGATTTCTACAATGTTTATGGTTTCCATTGTCAAACCTGTTCTTAAGCATTTTATTCATTTTGATGCTGTCATGAATAGGATCATTTTCTTGATTTCATTCTTGGAACATTTGCTGCAGGCCTATAGAAATACAATTGACATTTATGTTTTGATCATTATCTTGTTAGCTTGCCAACTCATCTTTCAGATTAAATAGTTTTCTCAGAGATTCCTTGGGATTTTACATCCCTAAGGTCCTGTCACCTTCCAATAGTTGTTTTCTTCTCTAGATGCCTTTTTTCTCCTAGGTCAATTTCCTGAAGACAACTTTCCAGTGCAGTGCTGATAAGTGAGGAAGAGTAGATATTCTTTTCTTGTTAGAGACCAACAACCTGTGGGTCACAACCCCTTGGGATTAAATGACATCTTCACAGGTGTCACACATCAGATATCCTGTATATCATATATTTACATTAAAATTCATAAAAGTAGCAATATGGTTGGTGTCAGCATTGAGAAGTTTAAGAAGCACTGGTCTAGACCATAGGGTTAACTTTCTGTCTTTAAGTTTATGTTAACTGTCATGTTTTCATGGATGTGTTTCATCAGGCCAGAAAAGCTTCCTTGTGTTTCTCATCTGTTGCATATTTGCTGTTATTTAGTGTTGGATTTTTACTAATTTTTCTTAATATATCAAGACCAACTGGGGTTTTTGTCCTTTCTCAGTAGGTCTTTGTCCTACTGATATAATATACAATACTGTTTGCTTTCCTTGTATTGAACTAAACCTGCATTCCTAGAATAAAACCCTCTTGATCATAATGCTTCATCCTTTCTCTATATGGCTGGATTTGACTTGTCTGGTTTTGTTGTTATTTGCTAGTACAAACTATGTACAGCAAACAAGACTTTTTCCAGTGAGAATGAGGGAACATTTCACCCTAACATTATAGCAAAAGTCAGAACCTGACTCATATCGACCCTAAATAATGTATGTCTCTCACCATAAACCAATTACTATGGTCAATGGAATGACTAGTTTAGACCTGGACATAAGATCAGTCCCCATAAGCCGGGCGGTGGTGGCGCACGTCTTTAATCCCAGCACTCGGGAGGCAGAGGCAGGCGGGTCTCTGTGAGTTCGAGGCCAGGCTGGACCGACAGCCTCCAAAACAATACAGAGAAACCCTGTCTCATAAAAACCAAAAAAAAAAAAAAGATCAATCCCCATAAAGGCTTGATCAGAGTGAGAGGTGGAATACCACCACCACCACCACCACCACCCCGCCCTGAAAAAAATGGTAGGGCTTTAGTTTACCAAAATGATGATTGATAGATGGTGGTGGCAGAAAGTGATCAGTGTCCACCACAGAATGAAACTAACCAGTGGAGGGGGCATCTTACAGGAGAAACAGAGTGCTGGGTCTGTGCAAAAGTCTATGAGTGGCAGACAGAAGAAAATGGGAGATGAGGTCACCTTCTGGAGGCCGATGGGGGGAAAGTTAAATGGAAAACATAAACGGGAAGAAAGGATGTCTCTAGAAGGACACAGAAGGTAGCAAGGTGATCTCAAAAGGTCCTGGACCCAGAGGTAGGTACTGTGCCCTGCTGTATCCCCCAGGCTGGCTGCAGCACTGGGTCTTCTAGGGATGGTGAAGGGGAGTTTTTGTTTTGGGTTTTTTTTTTTTTTTGGTTTTTACGAGACAGGGTTTCTCTGTATTGTTTTCGGTGAAGGGGAGTTTTAATGGGTCCTGTGAGCTAGTAAATCAGCCAATCAAACAGGCCAGGAGACACTTAGCCACCAGAAGGAAGCAGAAGCCACACAGTGCTGATTGACAGACAGAGGGTGGGATGTTGGGAGTATTCTATGAGGTCAGGAGACAAATGCAGATGTAGAATTGTTTTGGAGACCTCGAAGAGAGGCTGTTCTGAGGAAGAATAAATGGACACTGCTACAGCTAACAGGGGCCAAGAATAATATAGTACATAATAAATTAATAACAATTACTTAATGTTACAGTCTTCAGGTATGGACAAAGGCAGTGATCTTACTCCCAAAGATCTCTTGAAGAGTTAGGGAAGGACATGGTCAGCCTCACTGAGTGGAGTTTAGTCCAAGCACTGGGACAGGGCCTGGAAGGTCTTGCCAAGGATTACAGCATCATCTTATTAAGAGTAGAGGGAAACTATTAGACCTGTTTAAGCCAGGACATGGCAGATTAGAGCTGCATTGCTAAAACATCACTCCCTCCCAGGAGAATACATTGGGAAAGAAGCTGCTACATTGTCCTGGCAATGGCCAGTTGGAGACTTGAGCCAAAAAAAGTATGAACTGCAGCTACAGAGACCTTGAGCAGGTAGGGAGCTAACACGGGAAAGAATACAGGAGAGGAAGACTGAGAGCCAGTGCAGGACAGCAAGTAAAGGGTGATGCAATTGCTAACATTGACTGTTGATAGGATGAGATTTAGAATCATCCAGAAAACAAACCTCTAGGCATGTCTGTGAAGGCATTTACAGAAGGCTTTTGATGATCTATCCTGAATATTGGCAGCACCATCCCACAGGCTGGGATCTCTGACTGAACTAAAAGGATAAAGCAAGTTGAGTACCAGTATTCATCTCTGGTACTGTGGATGGAATATAACCAGCTGCCTCATATCCCTACTGCCATGCCTCCCCACTACAATGGACAATACCCCTCCACCATGACGGACTACATCCTCCAATCACCACGATGGACTATACACCCCACCTCGATGGACTACACACCCCAACCACCACAATGTACTACACACCCCAACCACCACGATGGACTACACCCCCCAACCACTACGATGGACTACATACACCCACAACCATGGACTACACACTCCCACCACAATGGCCCACACACTACCACCTCGATGGACTACACGCCCCCTACACAACATGATGCACTACACCCACACACACCATGATGGACTGCACTCTTGAACCGTGAGCCACAGTCAACCCTTCCTTCCTTGTGTTACTTTCATCAGGTGTTTGGTCATAGTAATGTAGAAAATAACTAATCCAAGAAGGAAGAAAAGTATCTTAGGCAGTGATTAGGAGCTCCCAAAAAAAGAGTGATTCAAAGAAGAGAGGTCTAGTGATGTGGACAGCCATATTTTACCAGATTTCTTGTGGTCTGCTTTACCATCTTCTTCAAAGGCATAATTCAAAGAGTTGGTACATATCTAACTATGAAGAAGTTGACATAATCTCAATTTAGCAGCCACATCCTCCTTGACCTTAATTTCAAGTCATACCTGTCAGAGGATCTGAGCAACCAAAGGTTCCCTGTCACTCAGGGGGAACAGTGTTCACAGTCACAGTCAGTCAACCAGCAAAGGCTTGCCCGGCACCAGAGCTGTGCTAAGCATTCCCCGTGTAAAATCTCAGGTGTCCCTCAGAAGAGGGGGAAAAAGAATGTCACTCTTATCATTACTTGATTTTAGAGACAGGAAGAACTCAGAGATGACACAGTAGACAGACGGTAGCGAGTGAGTGACAGTATAGACTGAACTTGACTCTAGTACGCCACCATTTAATCCCTTGTGTATACAGTAGGCTTAGGGCTTAAGGAGGGAGGGTAATTATTTTCAAAAGAGTCTTCTCTATTTCCGCCAAACTGCAACGAACGCAGAACCTCACAGCTGCACAAGCTTCTGAGCAGTGACAGTTGCATGCTCAGGAACTGTTGCAGAAGTCAAGAGCTGGGGGCATTGTTTGAACTAGAAGGTACGGGAAAGGCCTGCAAGACGCCTCCTTCTGCACAGTCCACAGCCTTTGTGATGAACTCTCAGCATCTGCAGGTGCCAGCACTGGACTGCACAAGAATGGTTCATTAGCAGCCAGGCAAAGGTGGTGAAGAGGCTCTGGGGCCATATCCCTTATTGCTGAGTTGTTTCCTAAGGATAAAGTCACAGAAAGAGGGCGCTTTTGCCTTCAGCTGTGTGCCCACTGGTGACCCCACCAGGCTCCAACAGATAATCCCAACCTAACTGTCTCACAGAAGGCCTTGGTTAAACTAAATGGATGGCACAACAAAACTAAAAGTTAAGAACCTGGGGAAAGACAGGAAGGAGGAAGGGGAGGTTGACAGAGTTGGAAAAAGGGAGATGGAAGAGTGGGGAGAGAAACTAACAAGAATGCAGTGTGTGTGTGTGTGTGTGTGTGTGTGTGTGTGTGTGTGTGTGTGTGTGAGCGTGCGCACACGTGCGCGCACGTGTGCATGCATGCACACAAACTTGTGAAATTGTCAAGGAACTTAATATAAACCAAAAATCACGTCAAGTCAATGGTCTGCCCACAGTTTTATTCATTTGACAAGCTGTCTGTCGTTGGAAGTATCTAGTGACATGTCTGACCAGCCCGGTCATCCCTCACCTGGACATATCTGCATTCACACGCAACTTTCCTCAGAGAACAACACTCCATTCCACAGATTGCCACAGATGGTAAACAAAGGCATAGGGGAACAGGAACCCCCATATCCACAAGAACCAAGGTGAAGGTTCTCAGCTCCATTCTGAAAGCATCTGCAGGTTTGCTCAGCTTCTGCCTGAACACTCCCATGAAGCCAGGAGTCTAGATTTTCTTTTTCCTTGGCACACTTACTATTTTCATTACAAAATATTTCAAACACACCAAAAAGCACAGTTGATAATATAGCAAATACCCATGTGCCTACTGCTGGAATTGAACAAAGGTCAACTTTTTTTCAATATTTGCTTCAGATCTTTTTGGAAGAAAGTAAAATATTACAGATGTATCGATGATCTCTATGAATCTTTCTAATTCCTCCCCCTCTGAATTTCCCTTCTGAAGTTGTTATGGGAGATTTGTTTGTGTTGTTGCTCCAAGACCACCAATGGAATGGACCACAGAGTTTTCTGGAGGACTCAGAGGAAGATAGAGGGACACAAAGATAATAAAGAGGGGCTTAAAGGATGTGAGGTCTTTTTTGATCAAAATAGGGGAGAAGAGGGTCATTTGATTGTTTCTCCTTTGCTCCATGGATAAAACAGGTTTATTCTCCAATATTTGACTCCTGGTCTTTATTTAGTAACAAAACAATAAAGGAAGCCACAATATGAAGTAGCAGCATATTCTACTTATTTGTTTAAACTAGTCTACAGATATACATAGTTTTACATGTTTTGAGGTGTTTTCTAAGTAATTGAACACTCCAACATCCTTCTAACCCTAATTTATTCATTCAGTTTTGTATGTTTATGAATACGGGTTCTGTAGATCTAATCCCACCTGGAAGGACACCATGACTTATATAGTCATATGCTGTAATAGCTGCTATACTGTTTGGCTTTTTAATAACTTGTCACAAGTAGAGTTGTCTGGGGAAAGGAACCTCAACTGAAAAAAAATGTCTCCATCAGATTGCCCATGGAGGTCATTTTCTTTACTAAATTGATATGGCAGGGCCAGCCAACTGGAGGTGGTGTCACCGCTGGGCAGTGAATAAGAAAGCAGCCGGAGCAAGCCAATGTGCGACACTGCTCCATGCCTTTGCTTCAGTTCCTGAATCCATGTCCCTACTTTGAGTCTCGGCTTCCTTCCACCACGAACTGTAAACTGTAAGCCAAGCAAGCACTTGCTTCCCAATTGGATTTGCTCAGTGCTTTATCACAGCAGTGGAAGCAAACTAGGACAGCTGTTTTCTAGCTTGTAATCTCCTCAGTTCCAACTTGGTACACGATCTGAGCTGGTCATGGCGTATGAGTATTCAAGTTTATTAAATATTACCAAATTGCTTTCCAAACTGTTGGTGATGTTCCTGTGCTAGTTACTTTTCTAGTTGTTTTGACATATACCTGACAAAAGCAGCTTCAGGAAGGAAGGGTTCGTGTTGGCCTGTAGTCTGAGAGTATGGTCCAGGACAGCCAGGGTCTGACGGCAGGAACAGGAAGTGACTGTTTGCTTTGCATCTACAGTCCAAAAGCAGATAGAGAGGAGTGCTGGTTCTCCATCCACCTTCTCCTTTTTTATCCAGCCCAGGGCCAAAGCTATGAGATGTGGATAGTGCCACCTACATTCATGGGTTTTCCTCCTCCACTGAACCTATCTGGACTTGCCCTCACAGGAACAGGATGGAGCTGTCTATAGCAATCATGTTGTTGGTAAGCAGTGAAAACCTTTTCTTGTGATCAGAAATAATTCTCCAGATCCCAAAGATCATCCTTTTTCACAAACACTGGTTCTATTTTTAGCTTAGATTTTTATTCATCCAACTCTCCAGGCAATTTGACACCATTTCCCCCAACCAGAAGCCACAGAACAATGACTAAGGAACCTTTACTGAAATCATCAGCCTCATGAATAACTAACACAAACCTAGTCACAGTTCACCTGGCATAGCTTTGGTGTTATGAGAAACATTTAATAACCCACATTACATAGAAGCTGATCAGTCAGAACAGCGCCTGTCAACAGCCTAGGGCAGCTAAACCATGACAATCTGATGCAATGCTACCTGCCCCAAGGGCCTGCTGGTTATTGCCACGCTGTCATACATTGGGAATGTGTGGCCTCAAAGTGTTTGGGTTAGAGTAAGTAGAAAGTTAAGTTAGGATGTCACCCCAATATGATATTTGATCAGAACCCAAAAACCAGACTGACAAATAAGAGAGAAGGGTACTTTACCAAATCTATGGCCTACACCACTCTGCATCACTTTGGTTTCTTACTGTTTTGGGATGTAGAACAAATTGTTTTGTTGTGTAGGTAGTATGGGTAAGTGAGGATGATTTAAATAGTACAGATGAAGGTGACAAAAGTGGCGCTGGTAGTGGAGATGATTGTCCCGGATAGTTTTACGTCAATTTGACCCAAGCTAGAGTCAATGAGGAAAACTCAATTGAGAAAACGCTTCCATAAGATTGGGCTGTAGGCAAGCCTGTTGGGCATTTTCTTAATTAGTGATTGATGGGGGAGGGCTCAGCCCATTGTGGGTGGGGCCATTCTGGACTAGTGGTCCTGGGTCCTCTGTGCAAGCTATGAGGAACAAGAAAGTAATATGCACACCTACATGACCTCTGCAACAGCTCCTCCCTCCGGGTCCCTGCCCCGCTTGAGTTCCTGTCCTGACTTCCTTTGATGATGAACAATGATATGGAAGAGTAAGTCGATTAAACCCTCTCCTCCCCGAGTTGCGTTGGTCATGGGATTTCATCACAGCAATAGAAACCCTAACTAAGAAGTGCAGGCGTAAGTGATGCTGATTATGGAAATGGGGATGTTGAAGGTGGGAGTAATGGAGACGAAGGTGGTGGAGATGTTGGAGGTCATGGAAACTGTGGGAGTAACGGGAGGGCTACGGGTGACAGGGAGGTTATGGAGATGGAAACTGTCAGGATGGTAGAGCTGGTAGAGCTGATCGGTGGAATGGTCCATGTAACAGTAGAGATAAAGGTGGAGAAATGAAGATGGAGATTGTGAAAAAGGAGATGGTGGAGTTTGGAGGTAGCAGAGACAATGGTTGTCAGGGAGTGGCATCTACATGGCAATAATGTATTTTATCAAGACAAGCCAACTTTAGGAGAAATAGAGACTATCACTGTGTCCTCTGGCTACAAAGAGGAACCAGGTAACAACATGGAGCTACAGGGTCCCTAATATCTCATGGGTAGACATCCATCACTGTTTCAAGGGTAGATGCTTGTACTGGCTAGTTTTATGTCAACTTGACACAAGCTAGAATCATCAGAGAGGAGAGAGCCTCAATTAAGAATGAGAAAATGTCTCTGTAAGATCCAGCTATAGCCAAGTCTATATAACATTTTCTTAATTAGTGATTGATGAGTGATGCCATCCCTGGACAGGTGGTCCTGGGTACTATAAGAAAGCAGACTGAACAAGTCATGAGTAAGCCAGTAAGCAGCACTTCTCCATGGCCTCTGCAACAGCTCCTGCCTCCAGGTTCCTGCCCTGCTTGAGTTCCTGTCCTGGCTTCTCCTGATGAACTGTGATGTAGACACCTAAGTTAAATACACCCTTTCCTTCTCAAGTTGCTCTGCTCATGGTGTTTTGTCACAGTAATAGAAAACCAAGCTAAGACAATGCTTCATAAGCTTGTTTTTTTTTTTTTCAGGAAACCACCACACGTAGAAGAAACAGCCTTCACCCTTGAAGCTGTGGTGCACTTGACCTTGGTGTTGTTTCCCCTGCTATCTCTACTCAGTGCTCATACCCACTGAAAGGCAGCCCCCCTCCTCCCTCCCCCTCTCCTCTCTGTCACTCTATCTCTCTCTCTTTCAGATCCTCCATTTCTCTCAGAAAGCTAAGCATAGGAATCTGCCCAGGCCCTAATAAGGATGCTTACAATGTCTAACTTCTAACAGCTCACAGAAAAACTTCAGCTGGGCATTCACTAGAAGGTGACTACCTGGGCAAGCTAGCTGGGTTTTGATTCTCAGCCTGGGATGCCACGGAGCCATTTACAGAGACTGAGAGAAGAGGGAGGGAGCACAGGGCTTAGGGTCAGACAGAACTGACTTCTGCTATTCACCTTCTGTGCAATCTTGAGCATGCCACTGGTGATCTCTGGCCCTCATTGCCTCACCTCTAAGGGTGGATCAATAACGATCCTCCATCTGCTTAAGAGACTGAAGCAAAACAATGTTCAGCAGAGCCCAGCAAACATGCTGTCACTGACCTGCTCTGTTTATTGAGGCCCCTCAACTGTGTATAGCACTGGAATGGGTCAAGACCTCTGAAGTCCTACCCCACCTGCCTGTCAAAGGGCAGAGAAAGCACCCCAACCCATTCTGGTGGTTTCAGACTAATGAAACAAATGATGTAGGAAGCTTCCCCGTGCACAGAGGAAGTGTGTTCAGAGCTATCTCTGCCTCAGCTCCAGCCTGACACCTCACCTACCCAGGGGCCTCACAGAATGGATGAGAAGGCTAGAGAAAGGAAGAGCCAATCCTGGTAGGCCCGTGAAGTGCTCCTGTGAGTGGTGCTACCCTGCTGTAGAACCTTCTAGAAGTGAGTCAGGAGTGCAGGTTCCTGAACTCTGCTTGACTAGAGAATCAGAGCTAGAACACTCCTGGACATGAGAACTTCCCCATGGTTACCCTGCTGTCCACTAACAAGCCATGGGCAGAGGAGCCCATATGACATCTTCCCCTCTGAGTCAGGCAGAAGGGATTAGGTTCAGGAACATCCTTTCCACCAGAGGGCATACTCAGAGTGGGGCTTTCAATCAGCCCACCCCAGAAGGCAGCCAACTGTCTGGCTACCTCTCTCAGACTATTCTTGGCTTTTCTGTCCTCACTGCCTCTGCCTCTCATCTTAAGACTCTCTCTTATCTCCATCTCTCTCTCAATGTCCAGTGCTCTGATTCTATCTGTCTGTCTCTCTCCTTACTCCTGTTTCGGGGGCACTGTCTTTTCTTCTCCTCCTGAGTGCTCTCTCTCTCTCTCTCTCTCTCTCTCTCTCTCTCTCTCTCTCTCTCTCTCTCTCTCTCTCTCTCTCTCTCTCTCTCTCCTGACCCTATCCATGGATCTGTCTCTCTGCTCTGTGTGTCTGTCTTTCTCACTGTGCCTCTGAGTCTTGCTGTCCCTGTATCTGCCTTTCTGTCCCTTCCCATCTCCTTCCCAGGAGGTTTCCAGGCTGGTAGCTGGGAACAGATGGCTATTAAGCTTTGGCCAGTGGCCCATGTCATCACTGAGGCTCCTCCCTCGGTGGCAGCTTGTCAGAGACCACCTGGGGAGTGCAAACTGTCCTGCCACAAACAAGTCACTGTCACCAGTGATTCAGGGCCTGGCCCTGTCCAATCTCCGCCTGCCTCTGGTAACCCTGTGAGAGGCCAGCTCCATGCCTTGCTTGCGCAATGGCTGCTTCTGGGGCCAGAAGCCAGGAGTGGGCTAAAGAAGGGCAGTGGGGAGACTTCACCCAATAGGCCTTGCCAGGCCCAGAGGAAGCACCTGGAGGCATTGATCATCTGTGACCCATTGTCACAGTGGTTGAGATTTCCTGGGCCTGTGTCCTGTGGCCACCCTCCCATATCAGAAGATGGAAGCTGAAACCAGGATACTCAATGTAGCCTGAGCCCCTGCCTAATTTGCCCTGGACCTGCATGGTGGAGCCAGAATGACCTTATTTAGGTGTTCCAAGGGCAAGCCTAAAGAGCACACTAGTGTCCAATGAAAAGTCAATATTCCCAATCCCATGGCCCTAGCTGTGCTGACCATTCATTCTCCCTCCCTCCTTTTTAGGGTCAGACACCAAGCAACCTAAGGGCATCTCTGCAGTGAGCAAGGGAAATGATTAGGTAGCCTGGCACCCTTCATTTACCATGTGAACCATAATCCGCATTAGGCCAGAAGGAAAACATCTACTTTTCCATAAGAAAGTGTGGGCCCAGAGAAGTAAATGACTCTTCCAACATCAAGTGTCCAATGGGCCCTGAAGTTCAGATAGCCTAACTACACCCATGTAGGCACATGCACGCACGCACGCACGCACACTCACACACACGCACGCATGCATGAGCATATACATGCACGTACATACTCCACAGATGAATGAACATAAAGCAACACCTAATATATACCATAAAGTAGTTCCCTGAATCACCTCTAGAAAACTCTCTGCACAAATACCTGGCACACACTCCTGCACCCTAGTACACCTGAGATACCAAAGTGAGATGCTTGTGTGTGGCCTGCTTTCATCCCTGCTCTTCCTATATGGACATAATAGAGGCACTGAGGGTGCATTGAGCAGCTGTGACTACATACCTGCAGGTTCAGGGGCGATCTGATGATGCCTTGCCTATGCAATACAGAACAGATGCCCATTGCTTCATTCACCAGATGCTCCTGGGATACCTAGGGAGGCTGAGGCTACAACTAGCCTGGAAGTGCAGGCACTGAAACCTTGTCATTCCTAGATAGTCTTTTAGGATACAAAACAAAAACTCCTACCAGGAGCCCACCTGATACAGAGGAGCAAACGGGTTAATCAGGAGAACTGGGCTGACCCAGCCTAGCAAGTATGAGTTGCAAGAGGCCAAGCAGGCCAGCATGCAGGTTCCAGAGGGAAGGCTTGAGTCCTGCAGTTGCCATGCACCCGCACCCTCCAGACTGCCTGCTCTACAGCAGCCAGAGGCAGCTCTTCCCCAGCCTGTCCTCCCCTGTCCCCACCCCAGCCACCCCACCTCCTGCTTGGAGGGAGGACAGGATGGCAGCATGCAGTGGGTGCAAACCCGGCTCATGTTTCCCTCTTCTCTTCCTGGCAGGGATTACATGGTGAGCGAGGAGGACAGCTGAGCTGGCAGGTGGGTGGCCAGCCATGCCCAGGGTTAAGCTGGGGAGGAAGGACGGGACGGTTGAGGTAACTCTGGCCAGAGGCAACTTCTCTCCCCATTCCCACATCTCCCTTCCTGGCTACCCAGAGGGGATGGACACCAGGGATGAGTCCAAAGACGAAGCGCCTGCTTGTGCACAGGCACCTCTCTCGGACCTTGAATTCTGCTCCCTGAATGGGGAAACACAAACTACACTGGACAGAAAGTCTGGCCTCAGAGAATTGAAGATCCATGAGTTGGGTATGGTGAATAGCAGGCCTGGAGTGGGTGAGAAGTATACAATTCTAGAACCTCTAGTTAGCACTGACCCTCCTACCTCTCCTAGCCTCTACCACTGCTCTGGAAGAACCATCTGCACAGATGTCAAGAGGCATCTGTCTACACAAGTGCAGCTGTGCCTCACCCCAGCATGGTCTTCACCCTGCTATGGTCCCAACCTGCCTGACCCATTTGGAAATACTCAGCTTTAGGACAGAGGTTGTCAATCAATGACTCTTAGATAGTTATTATGATGACTGGGGACAATTTGGTGGGATCCTGCAATGAAACATAGGCATGGACCTAAAAAATACAGGACTAGTGTGCCAGAAGAAAACAATGGCCTGGGTTCGGGTCTGGATGGAGTCCTGGGGGAAGCCTTAGTGGGTGGGAGGTAGGAGGGGAAGCCATCCTTCTCATTCTCACCTCATCCACTGGAGGACATCCGAGAAAAGCTGCATATCAAAGCTGTTGTGTGGAGGCCCCCAGATCTGGCCCAACATCAGCTGGTAAATTCCAGCCAGAAAGAGTCTAGCTGATCTCTGGAGCTGATGCAAGTTGCTCCAATTCCCTGGTGAACAGGTACAATCCGGCACCAGTCTCCAACTGCTGCACCTACTCTCTAGCCTCCTTCTCACATGGTGGTTTGAGGCTACTTTCTACATCTACTCCTGGGCAGCACAGTCCAGATGTTCCTACGAGGTAGAATGCTTTCCATCTCCACTAGATCAGTTTGTTTCAAACCCTTATTCTGGTACCCTCTACTAGCAAGCCTGATCAACCCAGTGCTGTTCTCCATACCCATGTATATATTCTACAGGTGACAACTCTGAGCTCTGGTTCCATGAAGGCAATAACACAGCTACATGGAAAGTTTGTTGACATGATCAAGACCAATAAAAGCACCAAGCGCAGAGCCCAGCATAAAGTGAGCCCTGGGCATGTGTCTTGTCTTCTATGTTAGTTCATTCTGGCCACTATAACAAAATACCATCAACTGAGTCACCTATGCATCAGGAGAAAAATCTCATAGTTTTAGAAACTGAGAAGTCAAAGATCAAGATCCCAGAAAATTTAGCATCTGGAAGGCCTACTTCCTGGTTTGGAGATGGCACTTTCTTCCTATGTCCTTACACGGCTGTCTGGGGTAGTTTTATAAGGATGCTAATTAATATCATCCATAACCTAATTACCTTCCAAAGACCCACATGCTATTACTATCACAATGAAGATTTTAGGATTTCAATACATGATTGGGGTGGGAGGAACACAAATGATCAGGCTATAACTGACACTCTTCCCAAGCCTGCCTGCCTGCCTTCCTCGCCCCTCCAACTCAATCCTTCCAGCGAGTCCCAAGCATCCTAAATGATCCTCACTCATCTGCCTCTGTTTCACTCCATTCAGATTCTCAGTGAGCCTCTGGAGTTCCTCTAAACTGTTGCCTTCCTAAGTGGATCTACACGCTATTTTCTGGGTCAACTACAGAGAAGGACCCATTCATCCCTGTGCTCCCACAGCATCCAACAAAGGTCTAGAACATGGTGTCTGGTTCCAAATGGAATAGAGGGGTTATGATTGGATAGGGATGGAGGACAGATGGATGGATGATGAATAAGTGGGTATAAGGACCATGTTCAGTAGAATGGATGGAAGGGTGGGACTGGCAGATGGGTCGAGGATCAATGTCTATGTAGAGATGTAGGGAGGGGTGAATAAACAGCGAGGTGAAATGGATTGATGTGAATATGTGGTACTCAGGTATTGAAGAGGATGGATTGGCGGATGTACAGATGGCTGCAGTCACGTGCCAAGTTGACTTGGGGCCAAGGCAAGAAGGCTGCAAGGAACTCTCTTCAATGCTTTCACCCCGATTATTGTTCACGTTCTGTCTGCCATCGCTGTCAAACCACAAACATGGGTGGTGCTGACTGATGGTAGCGGGTGTTGGATGCTGCCTCCATTTGCAGTTTTGCCCAAGCCCTCACGTATTGAGCCTGCCCCAGGCTCCATGCACCGCAGAGCTCAGAGCAAAGGCCTGGGTGGAGAGCACACTTGCCCTCCCCTGTCCACCTGCCCAGCCTCGCCCTCAGAAATTGCCACAGAGAAAGAGAACTGACCGTACCAGCAGAGATTTTGCTGTCCTCACGCTCGACACCAAAGTCTGGATGCCAGCCAACCACTCTCTTCCCAGGGCAAGCTTGTATTCCAATCACATGGAAGTTCAGCTGGGCTGACACTTCTATGCAGCCCTCAGTAAATCCAGAGCTCCTTGACAGCAGGAATGGTATCATCCTCACTGCCCAGTCCAGTCATACAGTCCTTGACACAGAGTTGGCAGAGGAAATGTTTGTAGGCTAAAGAAAATGAACAGGCATCCTAGATACAGCCGGCTGTTGCTACGAGAAAGCAGTGGTGGGCGCTCATCCCCGCTAAGAAGGTGCATGCCAACTCTGCCTCTGCCCGGATGGGTGGATGACCTTAGCTAGTCCCTGGACCTCTTCAATGTGAACTCATAGTAATGGATGGTAGCACTCAGCTATTGCCTGTGCTTGTTTGAATCACACAGGGAACTTCTGATGTTGGTCTTTGGAAGGACCCTAGCCAGAACCAGTGACCCCCTCCCGTAATAGTTCCTGCCCCAGCTTTGCCCTGCCAGGGCCTGTATGCATGAGCTGGTGGGTTGCAGACAGTGAGCATCCCCCGTTTCCGGGTTTCTGCAGCCTGGGCTATCTGTAATCACCCTGACCCCAATCTTTCCATGTGAATTATGTAAAGAGAGTTCTCTAAAACACGAGGCCTATGAAAAGTTCCAGTGTTCCCTCTCTACCACTCATGTCATCTTTCCCAACTTAATAAGGACCATGGCTTATTAGCTGTTCCCATCCAGTCCATCCTGTCCTGCGCCTGCACACGTGAGACTAAAAATACCCATGGCTCCTATTAGACACTCTGCCCTAGGGACAGGCCAAGCCTGAGTCGGCACTGACACTGAAAGTTGGCTCTTGCAGCCCTGGGATCCAGGCCACTAGGCTGTTTTCCCCAGAAGCACCCTCCTGACTGGGCCCTGGGGGTCCACAGAATTGATCAAAAGGCTGCTGCCTGGGTTTGTTTGGAGCTCTGTGAACTCTCCAAAGCCTTTGCCTCTGCCTGACTCATCTGCCTGTTAAACAACTTCACCCTGCCCAGAGAGTGGTTATTTCTCAAGGAACTGTTGTCACTCTCAGCATTCCCCCAGGCCCTACAGATGTCAGTCCAAACTTCAGCCTTCCCCTGGAAAACACACTGGGATCTCTTTTCACTAAAAACATGCAATAGCAAGTGGGTTTGGCTTAATGGGAAAACCAGGCTTCTCCAGAAGCTGTGTTTGAAGAGTCCCAAGCTTACCTCTGTGTGTGTGTGTGTTTGTGTGTTTGTGTGTGTGTGTTGGTGAATGTGTTTATGTGTGCATGCCAGTGCACGTGCATGTTATGTTTGCATGACTGTGGAGGTCAGAGGTCAACTCCAGTTGTCTTAGTCACGCTTGTACAGCAAAAACTCTACTGACTTAACCATCTCCCTAGTCTCCCAAACCAATCTCTTCATTCTTTATTTTCCTGTCAGTAAAATGGACACAAATCCATCAGTCCAAGTGCTAGCTATTGTGAGACAGACAGGATGAATATATCCACAGAAATAAGAGCACAAAATTTGAGCACTAACACAGACCTGATGCTGAAACAGGAACAAAGGGTGAATGAGGTCTCTTATCCACAAGGAACATGCAAGGGACATGTCAATAACTTGGTGATGCATGCTTGGCAAAGCTGAACAGGCGATCTCTCCTCCTATAAGCTTTCATGAGCTACTGGATCTCTCTCTTGGCATTGGCCGAGATATTTTGGAAAGGGTGGTGAGAGACAAATTGATTTTCATCATCTCTATCCCAGGGAAATTGCCAAGACTGTCACAGAGCTGGACTCCAACAGTCAAAGTACTTGAAGTTTGGACCAGAGTGCTTCCCACATTTGCCCATGAATGTGTACGGCAAGATGGAGCTTTAAAAGCTATGGACAGAAAAAAAACACAGAGAGCCAATTTAGGGGGTCACAGAAAGTTAGGCTGACATGAGAAGTGGCTAAGGACGTGCTGGGGAAGCAGACACCAGAAAGGGCAGGACTGGGAATTGTTAAAAAATATATATAATATATATGTATATATATATATAATATATATATATGCTTTGACTCTTAGCCGCAGTGAGGGTGGGAGTGTCTGAACAGGACTAAGCAGTTCTCTGAATGAAGCTCTCCCCAATCTGTGCTCCAGAAGGTTCTGCCAGCTGCTAAGAAAGGCACCTTTAGAGACACCTGTCCTCATTTAACCTCACTCTCTGGCCCTGAAGGTCCGTGAGAACGATAGAGGAGCAACTGCTCTGGGAGGCTCAGTGATACCTCCAAGCTAAAGAGAGATGGGTCATCTTGCTGGAAGGCTTCATTCTGTCCAATTTGACTCAAACATTCCTTGAGCACCTCCAGTGTGCAGCACGCAGAGGCACAGTGTGTGGGGCTAGCAAGAGGCTGAGGAGGGAGTAACACAATGACCTGGTCCTCAGAAAGTTTAAAGAGGTCAGAGGTTTGGCAAGGACTTCGCAGAGAGTTTACTGTGAAAGAAGAAAGACCTTATGTGGAAGGAAGAGTGTTCTTCTTCCAACTAATGTTTTAATGTCTGTGCCATTACAGAAGGAAACATGTGAGCCTTGAAGTCAGTCACACACACACACACACACACACACACACACACACACACACACACACACACACACGCACGCACGCACGCACGCGCGCACACACACACAAGGTTGGGTTGGGAAGATGACTCAGCTGGTTAACCTTTATGTAGGTTCAATCCTTGGAACCTACATAAAAAAACTAAGCAAGGTGGCTCATGATTGTAATCCCTGCACTGAAAAGGGAGAAGTGGGCTTGCTGGCTAGACAGCTTGACTACGTGGTGAGTTTCAGGCCAGTGGGGGACTCTATCTCAAAAAAAAAAAAAAGAAAAAGCTGTCATCCTCTGACCTCCACATGCATGCCTCTGGGTAAGAGTCCACACACATGTACCTGCACATAAATACACACATATATGCACATACACCAAGTTTATTCTCAGGGGTCATAAACATTCAATTAAAATCTGTAACATGCATTAACCATTCCAATGACAGCATTCAATGCATGTGACAGGTGGCAGGAGATTGACATACACAGCTAGTGAGTTTGTAAGTAGACATAATCTTTTTGGAAAGTCATTTGACATTGTATGTATCTCAAGCCTTAAAATAGTCATAACCTTTTGAGTCAGTGATCCCACTTCCAGGGCTCTATTCTAAGGAAGTAGCCAGCTATGTGGCCAAAGGTGTAGGCACACAGACATTTACCATGGCATCCCTTGGGGGAGAGGATAATATGAAACAAACCTAACTCCTAATGCTGGGCAAAGAGGAACCAGCTGTAATCACTGATTAGCAGCTAAAGTAGATTTTGAGGAGGTTCATTGTGTGTACTGAAAGAGGAAAAATCATGACACCAAACTACACGATACCAGCCTGCTGCTATCTTTAAGGGCTTTACACTCAATTTACTGTATGTTGCAGAGAAAATGCTAAACTACAGAACACAGAAGAGTGATGGTGCCTAAATGACAGGATTTAGGTGATGCTTCTCTCTTGCCTGGTCTTCTGAATTTTCCAACCTGGTCATGAGTTTGGAAGAACTCGGTGTTCTGTTGCTGGAAGACCACCATCACCCATCCAGAGGGGTCACCTTGCTCTAAGGACTTGGTCCTGGTCACCTTCCCTGTGTCCTCTCACTTCTCGTTGCTCCTCCCTGATACATGCATGGAGAAAAGGTTCCTGCTAAAATCCTATGTCATACCGACTCACCCCTGACATCTCTGGGGAAGAGACAAGTTTTCTTCTGGGAAACCCAAGGGAAAAGGGTTCAAATTGCAAGTCCCAGAGAGCTCCTCTTTCTAAGGACAAACAGCAGCCTCGGGATACCAGGAAACACTCCTCTCAGGTGAGAAAGGATGAGCCAGGAGTAAGCTCCCTGCCCCCACTCTATCTCCAAGGCAGCAGCCCCAGCTCAGAACCTGGAACTCAGCGGGACAACTGACAAATCCGCCTTCAAGCAGATGGGTAGGAGCAGTGTGGGTGACAGCTGGACGTGCCTGCAAGCCAAACTGAGAAGATAAAGTTGACAACCAGGCAACAGCCGTGCATTATTTGTCAAGAGCGCTGTGGTCTGGGAAATATATTAAGTGATTTCATCCTTGTATGGGCATCATGCAGAATATTTAACAAACATAGCGGGGAAAAGGCATAACAGAGCTTCTAAACACTTCCTCTTGTGATCCAAAAAAGTTTTATGCAATCGCAGGTATGTAAGTATATAAAATAATACAAATCAAGCATTTACTGATAATAAACCATAAAGAAATTTACTTTAAAAATAATTCATTGTTATATGTATAATTTTGCCATTTATTGAAGATTAAGGCAAATTTGCATACTAATAACACGACTGTTATTTATTTTACATAAAAATTAAACTGTGTCTGAGTATTTGATACTGCAGAACATATGCTATTTTCAGTGTTCCTTCAGAGTTGAGCACTGGATTTCATAGTCATCAATGCTGAGATCACAGTTTTATTTAAGCATGAAGGACCAAACAGCAGAAAAACATTTAGGGTTAGTTCAGAAATTGGTGGAAATTTTATCCTAATCCCAAACTGAAATTCACTGAATCATTTTTTAAATGAAATTCATGTCAGCAACTCAAGCAGCCATTTTTAAAATCAAATATTCTGACACACACAATACAGTAGGAAGGTAAACTAAGTTGATGATTGTATCCTGGGAGATAGTAGTAGGAAGATATTTTAAAGTTTTTACTTTCTATAAATAAGCTGTTTTGTTTATGTGCTGGAATTTTTGTACGTACAGTGAAACACCATAATTTATAGCATACAATATAGTCTTGGGTCTGAGCCAAGGTTTCTAGGTTGGTGTCTCCTGGCGTGATGGCATTCACAGTGCTAAGTGTACATGTTGTATGTTCAGAACCAAGGCTTCAGTGGAGTCCCACAATGCATTAAGGGTGAGCACAGCCAGATATACCTCAGACTAATTACACACTTGATTTTGAGTTAATTTTGGGTACTGTACATTTAGAAATGTTTTATTGTTGCCAATTTTCTTACAACTCACACATTTGTGGGCTCGCTGCCCACTTAAGAAGCTTTGGTGTAGCTACTACCTATTTCAACTAGATGATATCAATAAATAGATATGTAAATACATGATATATACTTAGAGAGATAGAGATATGGGTACATATTGGTACTAAACACAAGATTGAATCAAACACAAGAAAAAACACAGTAATGGAGCAAGCATTTTTTGCTTTTTAAAAAAGTATTTACGTTAGCATATATATGATAGCCTTATGGCATTTTCAAACAAAGTCAAATTTCTTTTATAGAAAACTTATTTTATAAATAAGAGTATACCCTAACAAGAAAAGTATAGTGTAGGGAAGAAAGAGGGTAAGTATAGTGTAAATACATGAATGAGTAAAATAATCACTTACTATCATCAAGTATATACTTTGCATAAATATATTGCTATGGTTACCGGCAAATAATAGGTTTGCCTGTAGCAGCATCAATAGAAACACGTGTTTGCTGTGTTGTGTCACAACTGTTATAATAGTGATCATGTTCCTAGGGCAGTTGGAGTTTTTCAGCTCCATCACAATCTCATGAAACCTCCCTCATGCATGTGGTCCATCATTCTGTTGAAACATTGCTTGTTCAATGCACACTGAATTCTGAGTGCTCAGTGTCATTTGAATTCTGAAATTTCCAATTCACTGTAATTTAAATAATTAAGGATTTACCCTATAGTGGAAGTAGCCTCTATCTTGCCAAACCTAAGACAAGAGTACGGGTTGGAATAAAAATCTTGGGAGCCCATTATTCAATATGGTATCAGGATGGAGGGGTGGCTTATGGAGGAAAACCTAAAAGCAGAAAGGCTATGGGTGTTTTAAACATGTCAGTGATGGTCTGGGCTGCAGCATAGGTGTATATGGCATGAGGCTGGTCCAGGGTATGAATTGCAGACTGTATCAGTAGCTTCAGTCTTTCTATTCTGCTGTGCTCACACACACACACACACACACACACACACACACACACACACACACACACACACACACGTACCCCTTCCCTGATTGATACATTCTAATGTTTCCATCACCTCAACTTCTCTGTGAGTCCTCCCTCTCTGTCCCAGAACAGCTCATCAGAAAAGAGAGCACAAGTGACTCAACCCAGGCCAAGGGATGGGATTCAAGCAGGGAAAGAGAGAAAAGAACACTTCAGTCCTTTCTCCAAGCTCCAGGCAGGGAGCAGCTTTGCAGGTCACAGGAGTTGGGTCTTGGCACTAAGAACCATGAAGACAGGTCCAAGCGCCTGGCAGCATCAGGACCTGAAGTCAAGGTGACCCTATTTCAGGAGTTTGCTCTAAGGCAAGACTCTCACTGCAGTTCTGGCAACATGTATTGACATCTAGATGCATTCTAGGCCATCAAGATCAGGAAGAAAGTGCTAGTGGCATCTAGTAGGATGATGTGAAGCTTAGGATAGCTTCCTACAGCAAGGAAGATTCTGGTCCAAATCTCCAGTCATTAGGGTGAAAGGCAAGTCCTGATCCAAAGACTTGGGTTTCACACAGAGATAGCAGAAACACACACACATACACACACACACAATCTGCCTGTACCTCTGGCTGGTATATTTCAGCTAACCATTCTCCCCATAAATGGCTCTGGAAAGGGGCATTGAACTATGTCCTTAAGAGAAACATTTTGCAGCTTGACAGTGAGGGTGTGGTGTGAGACTGTAACCCTAAGCAAAGGGTTACACCACTGTGTGTCACACCACTGACACCCTTCTGTCAACAAGGGGAGCTGTTCAGAGGGTCTGGTCTCAGACAGCATGCCTGCATTCATTAATTTTATTTTCTTTGGAACAAAATACCTGACAAAGGCAGTCTAGATGAAAAGGGATTCATTTTCACTCAGTTTCATGGTGGGGAAACCATAGCAAAGTTCCCAGTGGTAGGAGAGGTTTCTGCCCCTGGTGTTGAGAGAGTGGCAGCTTGCTCTTGTCTCACTGGCCAACAGGACACAGAGAACTCAGACTGGGAGCAGAGCTAAGTCCAACCAGTGACCTACTTCCTTCAACTAGGCCTGCCTCTGCCTCCTGAAGGTTCCACAGTCTCCTCAAGCAACAGCAGCTGAGGGCCAAATTTCTCAAGGATGAGTAGACGGAGAACATTTCACATCCAGACCACAACGCTGTCTCTCAAAGGACTTGGGCCATGCTGGGAGAAGAGGGTTAGTACAGACCTTCAGGGTCTCACATCTGCCTGAACAACTTCCAAGACCCAAAAGATTTGCATAAACCAGTCCTTTTTTCCCCAGCAGTGTGTGTGTGTGTGTGTGTGTGTGTGTTGGCACACATATAACTACGAAACAGGACTCACTTTAGCAGAACCAAACCTGCCGTGGGCATCATCTATATCACCTGTCCATCGAGAGACTCAGCTGCCTAGCAACACTGCCTCAAAATTGTGGGAAGCTAATGACAGACACCCAGTTGGAAAGGACACAGTGGTGACCCAGTGGGGCATCAGCCTTCACACACACCAAACTATGAGCCACAGGCATTGGGGAAAGAGCTTCAGAGTCCAAGGGTGTGGCTATGTCCCGCCGAGGTTCCGTATGGCACTCCACCTGTATTTTTCCTCCCTTTAAAATGAGGTAAAAATAACAGCTCGTATGTTTACAGCCCACTCACTGTGTGCCAGGAACCTTACAGGATATCATTCTCGCAGAAGCCCCGGGAGGCTTTCGGTTGCCCCAGTGGTACCTGATGGTGAGAAAAGGAAGGGAAACGGCTGGTCCGAGGTCACACCGGCAGCAAGTGGTGGCCCTAGAGCCGGAACACAGCTTGTATGATAGTGGCTGTTGCAAGGGCGAGGGGAAGAGCTCTCAGGAGCTGTGTCCCAAGGCGGGGTTACAGAGCAAGGCCTCCATGCACAGGTGGCAGCTATCACCTGTATAAACACAAATTAGGGAATTGTCTCCCACCTGGTTGAAGCCCGGTGCCAAAGGTTCCCAGGAAGAAGCCCATGTAAACACTCTTTAGACCTCCGCCAAACGCCCCGTCACTGTTGGCTGGATAGGCCAGGCCTGGCTAAAAATAGAAGGATTCTCAGGTCCAGTTCCCTAACAGCCACAGGCAGCTACCAGTTCCCTGGCCTCCTCTCTCTCTCAATCTCTCTCTCTCTCTCTCTCTCTCTCTCTCTCTCTCTCTCTCTCTCTCTCTCTCTCTCTCTCTCTCTCTCTCTCTCTCTCTCTCTCTCTCTCTCTCTCTCTCTCTCTCTCTCTCTCTCTCTCTCTCTCTCTCTCAAGAGCTAGTCTTCCCGTAGGAATGGAGATTTTTAAAATCTCCATCTCAGGCCAAATATGATTATTAGTTTGATGCCCAGTGGGTATGACCCATGAAACAGACATCAGTGGGAGATGGGGCCTCAGCATAATATTTCAACCTATGAAAAAAACTATCAACATCCACAACCCACCAAAGGGAACAAAGGGATCCAAGCTAAAAGTGTGGCCAACGTCTGCACACCCTGCAATTCAATCTTTAGCTCCGTGTCTTTCTTTTCCAAAACTATGCCAGCTCTGATCTGAAGTTTCAGGTTTGGCCAGTGGCTTCTTAGATGGTGGAGATGAGGCAGCACCCAGGCCAGCATAAGGGAGAGCTTTCCTGGAGCCGAGGACCGCGCTTATTTGCACGGGCAGGGAGGTTCAGAAAGCCTGCAAAGAGTGGCCCGGGTGCAGCTAAGGGCCCAGTCCGGGGATTTCCTTTCAAAGGTGACTTAGAGGCACTTCAAGAGGGTAGCGCCCTCCCAGGCGGGTCCTAATGGTAAATTTGGCAGAGTCAGCGAAACACGGCGCCGGGCAGCGCCCTCTCCCGCGCCCTCGCCTTCTCCCGCGCCAGGCAGCGGCGAGCACGGGGCCATTTGCAGCACAGGCAACCTCGCGAACAGCCGCGGCGCCGAGCCGGGAGGGAGGTGGCACCATGGAGCTGAAGAAGGACAGCAACGCTGTGGCCATCGACATGCTGCTCATCGTGCACTCCGAGAAGCGGCGCGCGGCCCAAGCCACGCACTTGGACTCTCAGCCGGACCCGGGCGCGCTGCTGCAAAACCGAGGAGGTAACGCACGCCTGGCCCAGGTCCTCAGAATCCCCGGGCACCTCAGTCACCAAACCCCGGGGTCTGCCCGCCGGGGGGCGCCCCGAACGAGGCCAGCCCAATCCTCTCCCCCACCGCTGCTTGTGCCTGAGCGGCACAGCACCGGTGTCCCTTGGCAACGCGCAGCGCAGTGGTTGTCCCAGGTTGACTCCCCATGCAGGCCTATGGGTGTTCTGTCATATCGAAAGTCCTTTCCTCCCGTTATTCCCTGAAGGATGCAAAACACGTTGGAAAACGCTCTGTGGGAAGAAACCAGGGCCTTAGGCTGATCACATATAGCAGAGGCCTAGTAATCACGCAGCACGCTCCATAGAGCACCAGGGACACCAGAGAATCTTTGTATTGAGTCAGACTTTGAGATAACTCAGAGCCTCTGTTTCCTCTTTCTTGAGCCACTCTTCCAGCCTCCAACAAATATAAGGCATGAATGTATAAAGGGAATATGGGTGATGGAGTGGGGTTTGAAGTCTCCTGACCGCACTTGAATTAAGCTTCAATTCGACTTGTTCTGCGGACTTGATGGGGAAATGAAAACTGACAAGTGAATGCTTCTAGGGTGAATGCAGAAGGCAGGACCCGCCCCTATTCACCATCTACACAGCTTGAATAGAGTATACATGGTGACAAATGGAGATTCAGGGAAGTCCCGGGAAGTGTGGGGGCCTCATGGCGCTGGTCTTGGAGGAAGCTTCTGAGGCTGAGTTAAGGGGTGTCCGAAGCTAACCGTGCACCAGTTCTTTAGGAGAAATGCATGACAACAATGCAGAGAAAAATGACTGCTGCCTCCCACTCTCCCTTCAGCTCCGCAGTGCCGTGGGACCCCTCCTGCGCTCCGTCTTGGCTTTTCTGCCCCCAAAGCCTCTGTGTACACGGGACACCCACTATCCATCCGCCTGACCTGCTAGGACAGTGATTCTGTAGACAGTATTGACCCACCGGCGATGCAGCAGGATGTGACTCCTGGAGAGCCGGAAAAGGGGCAGTCAGGGAAAGAAAGACTCGAAGCTGAGCGTGTTCGTGGCAGTTAGTGTAGTGGGGCTGTGGAGACAGGAACTGCTTAGGTTAGTCCAGTCTCCAGTTCTTTACGCTGCTCCCGGGAGAAAGGGGGAAGACCCGCTTTGGGTCTTTGGGGGAGAAAGAAAATGTCCTCTGCTTCTTGATGGAAATGAGACTGCTGCTATGGCATGTAACACAAGACAAAAGATCGCTCCCCGTGTGTAGGGAGTGAGGCCCAGTTCCAAGTCAGGGTGGTCTGTCCCCACTGCCCAGTAGAGTCCCTTTGCATCCTATCTGTCCCAAAGTCACCAGAGAGGATAAAGAGAGAAATCCCGAAGTGTTGGATATCAAAACTGCCCTCCAGGAACCTAAAGTCTACCCAAAATGCCCATGAGTCCAGACCAGTATACGTACTTTGGCCCTGACTCGGGGGTAAAACAGCCCTGCTGGAAAGGTACTGGTGTTTTTCAACAAACATTTTCCCAGTGACGGCTTCTTGAAAATGCTGTGCAGTGGAACACGCCCCCTATCCCACACCAAAGTGGAAAGGGAGGACGGCGTATAGTCTTCAGGGTCTGCCGCCCACGGAAACGCTACGCTCTACTGACCAGAGTGCATCCGCACTTTGGGACACAGCCTGGGGGAGAAAAGCATTGAGTCACACTACTTGTTCTTAGGCCTCGCACAAATGTACAAGAACCCCAAAGAGCCCTGTCGACTTTCCGGTGTCTTCCTGTCCCCTACAAGCTAGTTCCCCTCTATGGAGCAGCTGAAGGAAGTCTGTGCCCTGTGTCAGAGGAGAATAAAGTTCAATTATTGTCACAAGGCAGGCACTATGGCCTTACAGCAGGGAGGAGTCGGGGCGAGAAGGCAACGGGAGTCACCGGGGGTTTAGACTGCAAGGCTGACGGAGTCTCTTCCTTTCTCTGGAATTCCAGCATTTCCCCACCTATTTCCTTAAAACAGTACTTTCCACTAGGCAGGCTGTGGGGAGACTTTTGCAGAAGGATCAGGGGACAGGGACACTGAGGAAGACTTGGGGGCTTCTGAGTGAGTGCTAGGTTAGAGAGCCAGGCTGGAGACTGAGCTTCTGGGAACACTGCCGTCAAGTGTGCCACAAAGCTGGTCTTCTGATGACACCTCTGCAGTCACCAAGGTGCATCAGACACTCTTCCCACACCAGAAATTTGTTTTTACTGCAGTGGCCCCACTGCCTGGACATACATCAGTTCTGTTCCAGGAACTCAACTGCTCAACTGTCACTTCCAGCCACTGCCAGGGAAGAGCGCGTCCCTTCCCTTCTCCATTGCATCAGCACTAAAACGGAACACAGGTGCATCAGATAGGTCATGCCTAGACCACACAGGCCACACTCTAGCTGCACGGGAGGCTGGGAAAGTAGGTTGCTGTCACTTTCCACTCCCATAGGGACAGTCTTTGCTCCATGCTCTCTCACCCCAATTCAAGACTCTCCACAAACAGAAATGGGTGAGCAAAACAGAAAACAATGCTTTTGTACTTAGGTCCTGGAGATATGGGAATGGGTGTTGGGCATCTGTATTCCTCCTGGAAAATCCTGATAGTCGATTCACCGTCACGAAAACCTACCATTCTATCATTTTAAAAACATTCTTAATTTAGGAGTTGTGTTCATTTCCTCAAATGTGCCGTATTCAAGGGCAGTCTATCTCAGATCCTGAGAGAACTGGTTCCCACCAACCTTGTTTAAGTCAGATGGGTCTGTAACGGGTACAGTGGTGGGTGACGCCCGCCCTAGGGTTCCATCCACCAAGTGTCTCACATCAATCCTTACCTCACAGGGTTGCAAGGTGTCAGAAACGGAATCCGGAAATGGCAAGAACTGGAAAGAAACGGCTTTCAGGGTAAATCTCTTTTTCTATTTTCTATTCAGTCTCTATAATTCAATACCCTGAAAAATAACTGGAAGGGCTGGATTGTGCTCATTGGGAAACTGGCCCTAACATCTAATCAGTGAGCAAATATGGCCGCTTGCTGCTCAGCCAAGCTTTTAGGCCACTGTGAGCCTGGAAGCTCTCCCTAGCATCAGGGTCCTGCTTTCCTGGAGGCTGCGGCTGGGGAACGATGCGGTGAACCTCGGCACCCAAGTGTGTGCTGGCTGAGCCATCGGAGAGGGTTTGGCTGGGCTTGGGGTACTGAGAGTTGTGTGTGTTCCCACCAGAGGCAGGGTTGTGTGTGTTCCCACCAGAGGCAGGGTTGTTTGTGTGTTCCCACCAGAGGCAGGGTTGTTTGTGTGTTCCCACCAGAGGCAGGGTTGTGTGTGTGTGTTCCCACCAGAGGCAGGGTTGTGTGTGTGTGTTCCCACCAGAGGCAGGGTTGTGTGTGTGTGTTCCCACCAGAGGCAGGGTTGTGTGTGTGTGTTCCCACCAGAGGCAGGGTTGTGTGTGTTCCCACCAGAGGCAGGGTTGTGTGTGTTCCCACCAGAGGCAGGGTTGTGTGTGTTCCCACCAGAGGCAGGGTTGTTTGTGTGTTCCCACAAGAGGCAGGGTTGTGTGTGTTCCCACCAGAGGCAGGGTTGTGTGTGTTCCCACCAGAGGCAGGGTTGTTTGTGTGTTCCCACAAGAGGCAGGGTTGTGTGTGTTCCCACCAGAGGCAGGGTTGCTCATGTCACAAAGATCACCAACTTTAAAATGTTTTTTGTTCGTTTGCTTGTTTTCGTTTTTTCTGAATAGACTAGAATAGTGGCCTTCCTTGAAACAGTATTACTTGATGCCTGGGCAGAGTCAGGGTGCTACAGACCCCTATTGCCCTGGGCCCCAGAATGAAATGAGAAGTTCGTTTCCAAGGCCCCTTCTCTCTGGGTCCAGGCAGCGCTCTATCCTGATGGCCCAGAACCCCTCTGGAACATGAAGGATGGGCCAATACAGTGGACTTTGTTTTGTGTTCCTCGGACATTTGGTTACCCCAGGCTTGTGGGGGGGATGGTAATCAGTGGCAATGGGCATGATGGGAACACAAATTCTGATAGGAAGCAACCTTCACTCTTATAATGTGGTTGGAGAGTGCCATCAGAACCCAGCCATGGGAACCATGGAATCAAATGTCCCACCTCCCACAAATGAGAAAACAAGAGAACAACTCTGCTTTGCCAGCCTTCAGACAATGGCAAAAAAAAAAGAAAATCAAAATACAAAAACGAAACTCATCCATATGTGTATTCCTTATTCCTTCAATAGCTATCTTTAGCATCTACTTTGTGCCAAGCACAAGTTCAAGTGTCGGAGATTAAACAGTTAACAAGTGAGTCAGAACCCTATCCTTGTGGGGCTGGGTTCAAATGATTTCAATTTCCCTGTGTCCCTTGCCTTGTTCATGAGAAGGAGTCATCTTGAGATTGCATACACACCCACTAAGGAACCCACCCTTCTGTGTCCTGGCTAACAGATTCATGCAAGGGCCTCCTTAACTGGAGCTGAGCCATAGGGAAAGACTCCACTTGGGGTGGTGAAGGTTGACATCATATCTAGCAAAGTTTTGCTGTGGGCCAATGAGAAGCCTAAGAATGAGACTCTGGAAACTTAAAGCCCTAGGAATGGCCACTCAGAGGATGTGCGCAGGATGCTAGGTCCATGTGTGCGTACATGAGGGAGCAAAGTGAGCCACGGGCGGGGGCAAAGAGAATATCCTTGTGTGTTGTGGCCCTCCCTTGCCTTGCACGAGTCATCTGACAACCATTTTTAGGGCCCTTCAGGAAACTCTGAAGTCATTCTACTTTGAGCATCTTCATGGCTGGATGGGAGGCTAGTGAAAAGACATAACAAAGTAGAAAGCAATGCAGTAACTCTCAAGACAGTTCTAAAAGACTCTGGGATTCTTTATATCAGTCCACAGAGGGTGATTTAAATAGCCCTTGCAAAAAATCTCAGGATTGACGATTTGGTATAAATACAGGACTGTCAAGAGTGTCTACAGAAGTCCTAAATCCAGGAAACATGATAGTTCCACCATCCCACCAATATGTGTAGTTTTAATGGAAGACTGTCTAGTTTTTAAATGGTGTGCATGCATGGGGAAATGGAAGTGTTCCTTTGCATATTTCTTGATGCCAGGATTCAGGACACTAGCATTAAAACTGACCATGTCTCATATGCACCTTGTTGGTACCCCAGTCACCCAGTTGTGGTAACTAACAGAATTTCATCTCAGAAGGAAGTGGTCCAATGGCATGTACTCACAGAGTGTGCACCAATGTGACTGAATATGGTGTTGATCCAAAAGGACACATTTGTCCTCTTATTGCTACTCTGTGTACTCCCTGGGTGTTGGTGAGAGGAAACGTGGGGAGCCTGGAACACTCCAAACTTTTGGAAGCAGCAGGTGTTTGGGCTGAGCCACCCCCTCTCCATAGCTTGCCCAGCAACGGGCTTCCCCTGCTGTGATTGGCTGCTCTCCTTGGTCCTGGCTGAAGTCTGCCTAGCAGCACAGGGTCTGGTGCCCTACAGCTGGAGAGAAACCACTTGTGTAGCCCTGACTATAAATACCCCACAGGAGCTGTGCCAGCCAATCACCCTCCTTGAGGATTCCCTTCCCAGCTCCTGTTTCCTCATGGAGGTACAGCCAGCCGTGCCCACAGAAGGCAGCCTCCCTGTCTTCGCCTAAGTGGCCTAGAGTTCCAGCCTGGCAATGCCACATCACTTCCATCTCGGCACACAATGACAGTGGGTCTGGTCTCAGCTAGTCAACCATGTTCTGGAAGCCTTGGGGACCTGGATCAACCTGTTCATGGGAGAAGGTTGGAGCATGCAGGTTCTCCGAGGCAAGCCCCTACTGTGTGGATCCCAAGTCTAGCCCAGCTCAGTGCCTCACCTACCCACCTCGAGCAGCTCCTGCTAGGAGCAGGCATGAGAAGCACTGGGTGGCCTATTTGATTGTCTGCCCTGCTGAGGACAGCAAACCTCCAGATATGCTAGTTCCCAGGCTGAACCACTGGTTCCCCTGAAGTGAAGCTCACTGTAGGCCACATGGAGATGATGAAGGGTAAGGGAGTACTGGTGCAGGAACTTCCTTCTGCCATAGTCCTGGCCTTCCCCCACACTCTTCCTACATCCGTGAAGAGGAGGTTCAGGGGCTGCCTCAGTAAAGATGGTACACAGCCACAGAGCAGCCATAATAAATTCATGCCTAGGAGAGGCAAAAGACCATGGGGTCCCCATGATGGCCTGTAGCAAGAGCTAGGCATCTCTCTTCAGCAACCTGACCCTACTAGGCTATGAGAATATGTAAATATCCCCAGTGGATATGGAAAAGTCAAGCATGTTGAGTGTCCTGTAATACTGGCAAGATTAAACCAAACTGAATATCCTCCCGCCTTTGAGGCTAGAGGCAGGTTGATGCCTTTGCTCCTCAGAAGAAGGGAAATGAGCTAGGAGTTGGGGAACTCAGAGTCCAAGTATCATGTTGGAACATCTCAGCCCACTCCACAGAAAGGTGTGGCGATCAGCTAGGCATCTGTGTGTGAGAAAGTATTTTGGAAATTGTGGCCGTAAGTCTGGATGGTGGTTTCATAGACCACGGAGTGAATCCCAGCCTGGGCAGGCTCCTGCTACAGGGTTGGCACTGATGAACTCCCAGGAGTATAGCTGTGTTAGCCCACAGATGTGCACACCAGGAGTATAGCTGTGTTAGCCCACAGATGTACACACCAGGAGTACAGCTGCGTTAGCCCACAGATGTGCACACCATGGCAGTATGCACCAGCATACAGTTATCTCAGGTGCACCCAGCTTCCTCTGTCCCCCAACAAGGGAACATTATACCATGGTCACAGTGGTCGCTGACACCTTCTTTGTCTTTCTTAAATAGGAAACTTGTCAGAGAAGCAATGCCTTCAGCAGCCTCAGGTCATCACCTCCTATGACAACCAAGGTAAGAGACACATGGATAACTGCCATGTCTCCTGTGACTGTGTGCCTGGTTCTGCTGCCCCAGTTAGAAAACATAGGATACGGAGATCAAGGCTTAGGGAGCAGGTCCTCTCTGATCCATGGAGGTTGGAGCATCCTTTGGTCTCCCAGCATCTCAGAGGAAGAACTGAGAAGCTGTGTGGTTCAAGAAATGAAGCCTCTGGGTCATGGAACCCAGTCATCATAGATACCATCGTCACTGCTGCAACTAACATTCACTGAGTGCAAAGCATGTGCTTGGGGCTCTGCCAACCCATATACACACTGAACTGTCAAAGTAATCCTAACTGGGTGACAGTCTCACCGCTTTACAGATGAGGAGACCGAGGCTTAGGATGGTTATCCAGCAAGAGTCAAGGCCAGCTCACGAGTACCCTACCCTCCAACCCCAGCAAAGTCTCAGCTGTTAACCTTCACATAGCTGGGCTTCCACAGCTCCCTGGAAACTGATCTCCTGCTGGCTCCCAGTATCCAAGTCCTCCCACGTCCTGAGTCACAAAGGGTCCTTGACCTCTGCAGAAGCTGAGCCTGCTGAAACGTGCCACTTAGTGCTGAGTCAGCTGCAGCAAGGGGAGCAACCTGGTCCCTCCTTGAGTGTCCTTACTTCAGCAGGCTGCTCAGGAGCTTGGAAATGGCAGGCATGGGCACTGCTGGTCAGGCTGAATCCATAGTTGTCTGTATCTGAGAAGAACATGAGATGGAAGTAAGGGTTCCAGAACTATGGCTGGAAGAGAGTCAAATTAGAGAACTCCACCATGGCTCTTCACCAGGATGCCTGCGGGTCTCAGGCTCAGCTGAAAGAATTGGCTGCCACTGATGATGCCATAACATAAAAGGAAACCCAAGGGACCCATGCCACCCAAGGGACATGGGCATGCCCCCTCCTGAAGTACCGATGCAGGCCATGACACATCTCTGAAACTGGCTTGGCTGCACAAGGCTCCTGACAGACACCTTGCTAGAAAGATCATGAATGGGTGGCCATTATCTCATGTGTGGAACAAAACAAAGACTCCAAGATGAGTCCATCCTAGCGAGAAGGAAAAGACTGGAGGAGAAATTAAAGGAGGGATGCTTTGGGCGGGGCTGTAGATCCTATAGCTCATTGGCTAAGAACAACAAGAAGACCTGTGCTTTCAGCTTCTGGGAGTCTGCTCTCTGGGTAAAAGGCAGGTGTCAGCAGGCTGGGGCCTTTGAAGCTCCTGGAGGGAACGCGTCCCTTGTCTCCTGCTCCTACAGGCTGCCAGCATTCCTTGGCTTTATGACTGCCATCCTGGTCTCTGCCTCCTTTGTCACAGCGCCTTCTCTCCTTATAAGTAGGCAGTTCTCCCTCTTATAAAGTTTTATGTGGTCACATTTAAGGCTCAACCAGATAGTCCAGAATAATCACTCTAAGATCTATAATTAAGGCACATCTGCAAAATCTCCCTTGCAGCCAGAAAGTTCACGATAAGGAAGAATTGTAAAGAGAACAGAAGGGGCTGGGGTGTAGCTTAGTGGTTGGACTAGCATGCATGAGGATTTCTGGTCTGATCTCCAGCATACCTTCCCCCACCAAGGAAAAAAGAATGGGTGAATGATAGCTGAGGCTTATCGTGTAAATGAGGGAAGAATAGTGGAGCAAAGGAAAGAGCATCTGGGGAGAGCTTCCTGCTGAGAGCCATAGCATGAAGGCACCACCAGGCAGGCATGTGTCTGGGGCTGTGGAGAGTGAGTGGCTGTGGCCAAAGGGAAAGAGGCTGTCAGCCCCTCAACAGCTTTCCTGGAAGATCCAGCATAGCATGGACCAGAGGTGGGACATGAGGAGTGTGCCAGCTATGAAACTCATTGACTTTCATGGCTCCTCATTTCTTCCCCTCAGACACATTCCATGGAGAGTTGCCATCTCCCAAAAATGAGATCCACCGTATGGATAGAAAAATGGAGAAACTGTGGCACAGAACCATCCAAACTGCTTGCCCGAAGTTATGCAACTAGATAAAACAAGTTAGACGAGGTAGTTGAACATGTCTGTGTACCTCTCAAAGCCAAGTGGGCATAACTTCTGTACCACACGGCTTCCCAGACAGGACAGGGACCTCTCTAGTAGGTTGAATACAACCTCCCTGACCCACCTCAGAAAGAAGTGCAAGGCTCTGGTTGGGAATGGTTCAATTTTTCCTCAGCAACCTGTGCAGTGGTATACAGCAGGTGATAAAAAGCACCTTGGAAATGTGAATCTTAGTACAAAGGGGCTCCAGAAGATGGCTCTACAGTGGGCATTGAGTTGGATGACAGAAAAGATATTACTAGGAGACACTGTGACTTTAGACCCTAGGGTTATGGCTGAGGAGTCAGTTTTGAAATTATACTCACCATACTTGTTCCGAGCTTGCATAGCTATGACATCCTTAGTGCATACAGCATGCATCTCTTAAGATGTCCCTGTGTATGGTCAGTTTGAGGGTGCCTTTAAGATGACAGATGCTGCAACTAAGATTTTCTGACTGTAAGTGTTACAGAAAAGTATGTCCAAGACTGTATGTCCAAGATGTACTTGTATCAGCCTGTACAGAAAGATACAATGGTGTCTCGTGTCTAACACAAGTCCTGGGACTCCTCTACACACCTGTCTACCCCCGTGTGCATGTATACTCACACCCATGCACTCGTGCTTGCCTGGCAGTATTTGTTCATTGATCAGTGCTCCAGGCGACCACTTCCAATCAGTTAATGAACAACACAAAACCCACTTGCCATGCCCACATTAGGTATTCTGAGTAAATTAAGCCTTTAGACACATACTGATGAAAACCTGGAGCCATTAGGAGAGGTGTCATGTGGGAGATGTCACCTGACTGGGTAAATGACACACCCAGGACAGTGCCCACATAGACTTGGTACCCTGTATGTATCTCTGCTTTTGAGAGAGAAAGGAAGGAGAGCCAGCAGAGTTTAGAAAAGGGCCAGTCTGGAGGCCACTTTGTCAGGCTAGCAAGAAATAATCCCTAAAATGCTTTTACTAAATGCCCAAGGCTGCAGTTCCAGGAGGTTATTTGGATGGCAAATGAATTGCTGGGGAAGGGTGCATTGAGGGAGGCCAGCCAGGCCACCCAAAGTCCCAGGAAGGATCTCGTCAGTTGTATGGTGGTGAAGGTCGGTTGCTTGGTGGTCAAGGTCAGTGTGACTAGCATCTGCTTGTGATTTAGCTGGTTTGAATTTTGCCCTAGACCTTGCTTCTCTATGATGAGCACTGGGACAGGTTAATGCTCTTGATTAAAATCTGAGTTTTATTTGATCTAAAAGTGAGGTCGGTTCACTGTCTCCCTCTCTAGTGAATGCTGTCTGTCTTGACACAGGGTGAGAGCCCCAGGCCATTTCTGGGGTATCCAGGTATGTCTCTTGATGCTGTCCTCAACCTCTGAGGGGGTCACATGACTCCAGAACGGGGGTGAGAGCATTCAGCAGCACAGCCTAGGGACAGCCAGGTCCTGGGCAGGAGACAGACCAAAGATCTGCAGGGGGAGAGAGGGGACCCAGATGGTGACAGAAGGAAAGCTGCCGGACTACAGCCCCCTCCCTCCATGAACATGAGGCCCCAGGAGGGCCACAACAGTGGGTTTTTTCTCAGTCCAATCATTCTTAACAAGGAAACATGGCTGGATGGGGAGCAACTGGATGTATCTAAGTTAAGAGAAATGAGAGGAAGAGGTTCATTGTTGAGCCCCAGGCTAAAGAGCTGTTCACCTATAAGGTTACATGGCCCCTTTAAGGTTACAGAGGTCGTTTCAGTCCAGCAATCTCCAAACTGTACTTGGAAACAAAAACAAAACAAGCAACAACAGAAAACAACAATAACACTGGTCAGACAGACCTGTTTGCTGGGGGCTGAGAGCATTGTGGGTTACAACCCACAAAAGAGTGTGTCGGAGAGCATGTCACTCTTCATCCTTCCCAAGACATCTTGTGGCCACACATCACTTTGGAAAACACTCCAGAAAGAGTCGCACGAGGAAGTGAAGAAGCCACATTGACCAGGCCCATACACTGTGGATGGCGACGGCACCCATCCTCTGACCAGAATGGACGCGTGCCCTGAATTCTGAAATACCCAGTATCTTCATCATAAGATCACAAGGCCGGTGGTCACTGGCAGAGAATGTGCTAGATACAACACTTTAAAGGTGAATGTGGGGCCAGAGAGATGGCTTGGAGGTTAAGAGCGCCTGCTCCACAATCATGAGGACTAGAGTTCAGATCACAGCACCCATGTGACAAGCCAGGCATCTCTCAAATGCCTCCAACCCAACTCCAAAACTGACAGAGACCAGAGGCTCTCTGGGACTTGCTGCCTTCCAGATGAAACACAAGCCCCAGGTTCATGAAGAGACCCTGCATCAAAGAAATAGGTGGAGAGAGATAGAGGACACCTGATGTCCTGTCTGGGCCTTTATACACATATGCATAAATGCCTTTGTACATGTACACACATACAAACACACACATATGCATGTACTCACATAATACAATCCACATATACCCACACAGATACACACATTAACTAATTGATCGGTTAATTGATAATTAAATATTTTAAATGAATGGTAAGCCTTTTGGTCTGGGGAGAACATTCTATTTTTGGTCTCTTTGTCATGCAAAGCACGTTTTAATAGTACCTAAGAAAATTGATATTGTTTTTCTACAAAAGAAACTAATGGCAACATATTTAACAAAGAATTAATAAAAGGAACTCCTTCTTACAAAATCATTGAGGGAAACATAATAAATCAGTAATATATATGTGTATATATACATATGTGCATATATGTATATATACATACATGTATATATAGTCAGCACACAAAACACAAATAGGAAATAAAATATTTTTTTAAAAACCCACTACACTGAAAATTAAATATATAAAACAATAAGGTACCCTTCATTAATAAAAATTTAAAGGATTTATGAAAGCAGGTGCCAGTGAGCTTAGCAGGCATGTTTGTGTTATCCACCGCCACAGGGCTCAGCTGCTCGCGGCACTGGTAGCTTCCAGACCTGCAGGTCTGCTGGACGATCAGTGCCCACGCCATCCTCAGCTGATCTGGGCTCTTGGCTGGGCTGGAGCATGTGCTGGCTGTCAGCTGGTGGGCTGGCTAGAGACCAGCTGGTTTCAGATAACCTCACCTGAGCAGCCCTGCTCTGCTCCCTGCGGTCTCTACCCACAGTCTGGTGCTCACACAGCGCTGTGACGGGGATGCCAAGAGTGCAAACAAGCATGGCAAAGCCTCCCCAGGGCTCAGCTCAAACCCTGGATGGTAGCACAGCTTCTAGCACAAGCTAATTGGCCATGCTAACTCTTGAGGTCTGCCCACATTCAAGGGCTAAAACAAAACCCTTCTCATTGGGAAAAAGACAACGTGTGAGCGGTTTTGCCACCAACCACAGCAAGAATGATGGGGGCGGGGGGGGGGCATGGGAAAGTCGGTCGGGGTCAAATAAATAAATGCCTTACAGATTTCCTGTTCTCTTCAATAAGTGTTGAAGAATTCACTCGCAGGGACTGATTTGAAAGTGTTAAGGGTGCCTGCATCCTCATGTTCACCACCGTTTATCATAGCAAAGCACTTGGGAACTGTGGGGTACCCACTGCACACGGGGAGTCTTAGTGAATACTCTGTGAACATGTGACATGGTGTGTATTCCACTACCAGGGGGTGACCTTCTCTCCAGCCTCACAGAGGCCATGCCAGAGTGATGATCTCCCCAGCCTCGCAGAGGCCATGCCAGAGTGATGATCTCCCCAGCCTCGCAGAGGCCATGCCAGCCTCAGACGGTCCTATTTAATACTTCTCCACAGTGGTTGATTTTGTTTTATTCGTCCCTTCTGACACTGAGAGAGGAGCTCTGAAACCTCTGGCTATAGTGTATATTTGTCCATTCTTCTTTCTAATTCTGTGCGTTTTAGTTCATGTGTTTTAAAGTTTTGTATTCAGGTGAATATATAGTCAGCATTGTCATATCTTGATAAGCTGACTTTTTTCACTCTCTTATAACACTTCTCTATCTCTGATATTTTCCTCACTCTAAGTGGGTCTGTTATTGAGCAAATTGTCTTGGATTCACTGTGTCTGAAAATGTCTTTATTTCAGTCTCACATGGCATTTTTATTGGACAGAGACAGTTAATTCCTTTCAGAACTGTTTAAAGATTCTGTATGCCTCTGACACGGCTTCTGATGAAAACACTGTAGCAATCCCAGACGTAATGTATCACTTACCCTCAGCACTTTCGGGGCTTTTCTTCCTGTGCCATGATTACATCATGTCCGGCTGAATCTTCTCTCACTTACCCTGTTTGGGACACACTAAACTTGAGTCCATCCATGTGTGTCTTTTGTTAAATTTGGGTAGCTTGTTATTCTTCGATATGGATGTTTCTGTCCGCGATTGAGATGTCAGTGACGTGAACAATGGGACTTCTGGCTGTGGTCCTCCAGTCCCTGACGTGCTGTTCTGTTGGCTTTCCCGTGGACCCTGTGTACTGGACCCTGAGTACTGTTCTCTGGCTCTTACCTTTGTCACAGAGAACGCTGTAACCCATCTTCTATTTCAGTGTGAAAATCTTCACTTGGTTCTTTACATCTTCCGTTTCTTTGCTTAGTTTTGTGTCTTTCCATTTATTTCAAAATGGTTTGCCCTGACTTTGCAGAGCACGGCTGTTGTGTCATTTTAACGTCTTTGAGTCAAATGTGGGTTGTCACGGGACTGACATTGGTTAGTATCTTTTCTTTCTCCAATTGAGATCTTCCTGGGTGTTCTGCTGAGTAGTTTTAAGTGGTGGCCTTTGGGCCGTCTGTCTGTGTGTGCCATGCGGTGGCCTTGCAGGACCTCCCTGCCCTCATGTGTCATGCAGTGGTCTTTGCAAGGCCTGTCTGCCAGCATGTGCAGTGCAATGACCAGTGCAGAGTAAGACATTGGTCTTCCCCAGCATTTAGTACTCAGGCTATGGTATGGTGCATAGGGTGAGCCTATGATGTACAGCTCAGAGGTGACCGTGGGAGCTTCTCTGTAACTTTAGGGAATTACACCCCGCAGTCTGCCTTCATCACCACTTCCTATGCCTCCAGCCAAAAATCTGGAGCTTTGGTTTTTTTCACTTGTGTTGATGGACAGTTCAGACATGGTGCAAGATGACCTTTTTTTCTATACTTTTTATATCTGTGTCTAGGAACAAACAGCAGGAGAGATGGAGAGGAAGGGAGGGAGGGACAGAAGGGGAGAGGGAGGAAAGGAGGGAGGGAGACAGAGACGCTCATAAAGGAGAGCATTTAACTGGGGTTACAGTTCAGGGGTTTAGTCCGTTATCATCGTGATGGGAAGCAAGGCACATGCAGACACGCATGGTGGAGGAGAAGGAGCTGAGTTGGCAACAGGAAGTGGATGGTCTCACTGGGCAAGGCTTGAGAAGGAGACCTCACCTCAAAACCCACCTCCACAGTAACACACTTCCTCCAACAAGGCCACACCAACATAGTGTCACTCCCTTTGGGGGCCATTTTCTTTCAAACCAGCACACGCCCTGATCATTACCACCCCCACAGCAGCCTTCCCAGGGTCTGCAAGTCTTTTACCCAAGTATTCCATTTCAGGTGACAGCCGCACTAGGAGGGTAGAGAATGTGTGCGTTCCTTGTTTGAGTTATTCTGAAAAACACATATCAGCTGCATAGTCAACAGAAAGATCTGAAATGGAGTGTGTTCTGCTTGGACATCTGTCATGACTGGTGTGTCCTTCCTGGCAGCATTCGGCTGAAGATATCACCTCCCCCTTTTCAGGTACTCAGCTGACCGTGGAAATCCACCCCCAAGACACCATGCCCCAGCTACTCAAGAAGTTCTCTTTGGCAAAACGTACGTATGTGTAGAGGGCAGCTCAGTAGAGGGCTGGCAGGGAGAGTGGGGGAGTCAGATTCCAGCCAGGACATCTTCTGAGACAATTCAAAGAGGGGTTTGAGCCTAGAGCCTGGGGAAAGGCAGAAGCACGACTGTGCTCTCCACACCCATGGCTTTGGTTCCTCTTCTTATTGCTGTGACCACCTGACGAGAAGCAGCTTGAGGGAGGAAGGATCGATTAGGGTTCGTGGTTTCAGGAGACACAGTCCACCGTGACAGAGAAGGCCTGGCAGCAGGAAGCTCCATGATGGCAGGAGTGTGCAGCTGGACTCCTTACTGCCTGCCATGGTGGTCAAACAGGAAGCAGAAGGCAGACAGGAACTAGAACTAGGCTATAGAGACTCAAGACCTGCCCACCAGTTACCTACTCCCTCCAGAGAGGCAACACCTGATGAAAGCTTTTCATCCTTCCAAAAGTGAAATCTTGGGGGTCAGGTGTCCAAACGCATAAGTCTATGGGGGCATTTCACTGTCAGCACAGCACCCAGATCCTGCTGTTCTGTGTCTCTGTAATGAGGCCTGGGTGATGTAGCAAGCAACTAATGGTGCATTCCCTCCCGAGACTGTGGCTACCAGTGTTTTAATACGCTGTCTGTGGGCTGCCCAAATCATGGCAGGCACTAAGTACTTCCCATGCCTCAGCCTTGTGACCTTGATGCATATGTCAGTATTCATCCCAAGTTTTGCAAGCCAGCACAGTGAGGCTCGGAAAGGAGACTTGACTGTCCAAGAAAGTTACCTAGCCAAGAGATTAAAAACCCAGGTCCAAGTCTGAAGCCTCTGACCAGCTACAGTGTGTAGCAGTTGTCAGTATATGTAGGCAGGCAGGAACACGATGGCCCTCCATCCCTGCTCTGCCTCTACCCTGCCTCTTGGGCTGATGGGGGTCTCGTGAGGAAAGCAGGCAAAGGAGGGGAGGCTGCAAGAGCAGCCATGCTCAAGTCCCTCCCATGACCCCTCAATGAGCCTAAACCCTCCATGGCTGTGCTTGCAGACCCCAGCAGTCAGGCACTCAGGAAGGCAATGTAGAACAGCTCCAGAGTCCATGGTATGGTTTCACTTAACCTTCTTTTGGATTATTCTTTTCATATAGAAAAGGAAGAAAATCGGTAAATCTCTCTTGCAGGATTATTCTAAGTCCCCAGTAAGTGTTAGCTACTCTGAACCCTGTCATGTCATCTGAAGATGGGGGAGGGGGAGGTTTCCAAGAAAGAAAAAAAAAGAACTTATTTCTGGGAATGGCAAGCACCTTCTCAACTTTCAGTTCTTAAATTTACAGCCTTAATTGGCTTCTAAGGGCAGAAGCCACCTGCCTTGGCGAGCCCACCCCCAACCTCACATGGTTTCATTAGAGACTTCGTCTTCCTGACCTGGCTTGGAACTAGTGGCAAAAGCTCCTTTTGCTGCTTTCCCAGGGCTCTCCAGTTGCCTACCATTCCATTTTAACTTCCCAGAATTCACAGCATCAGGCCACTTCTTCTGAGGGATACGTGACCTCCTGGGCCCTGAAGTCCATACCCATGGCCTTCTGTGCCTCTATTATCATTCCTATCCATAGTCAGCTCTTGTCTTGGGTGATCTGGAAGGAGCTGGTCTATAATCTCAGTGTCTGCAGCTATCTTCCAAGATGGCAGTAGTGAGAAGGGGTGGACCACTGAACCACAGGTCCATGTGGGCCTGATGAAGGTTATAAAGCATTGACATCAAAGACCATCTGGCTCAGCTCAAAGACCATGGATCTCTTACCTGTCATTCAGTCCCTGTTCCAATCTCTCCTCCGCCCCAGTGGTCCTTATGGAAGCTCTAGCCACAGAGTGATGGTGGGTAGGGATGGGAATGTGAGGGAAATCATGAAGGGTTTGAGCAGCCAGGACTGCTGCCTAGAGAACCATCAGTGCTTGCGTTTCTGTTCCTTCTGAAGTATCTCTAACCTTTGGGATATTCCAGGTTTACAAGGTGATAAAAATGGAAACACGAGACCTCGGCAGCCTGGAGGGAAAGATGCCCATGGTAAGTCCCAGGCCTTCTCTGGGGCCTCCTGAGAAAGCAGTGAGTTGGTCTCATGGTCCAGTCTCCAACTGGTACTGGCTTACTGGGACATCATGTGTCTGAAACCATCTGTGAATTTGGGAAAGAGAGTGTCATGATTGACTAGGAATGTCTGCCATGGACACAAGTATAGAAGGAAAAGCTGTACTGTCAGATATCATCCCAATGCTAAAAGTTAACACTCTGATTACATAGCGGTTCACTACAAGAGACACTAAAATCAGAATTCAGGGTGATGATAATTTGGATCTAGAAATGTAGCTTAATTGGTAGAGTCCCTACCTAGCAGTCCTCAGAACTAGATCGACTGATATGCTGACATACTCCTGTAATAGCACTTGGAGGTGGAGGAAGGAAGATGAGAAGTTCAAGGTCATCTCTACTACATAGAGATAACAAGCCTGAACCAGAGACCCTGTCTCAAGACGAAGGAGGAGGAGGAGGAAGAAGAAGAGGAAGAGGAGGAGGAGGAGGAGGAAGAGGAGAAGGAAGAGGAGGAGGAGAAGGAGGAGGAGGAGGAGGAGGAGAAGAAGAAGAAGAAGAAGAAGAAGAAGAAGAAGAAGAAGAAGAAGAAGAAGAAGAAGAAGAAGAAGAAGAAGAAGAAGAAGAAGAAGAAGAAGAAGAAATGTTACCCTTAGATGGAGGACTTGGACTGCAGCTCAGTGGTAGAAAGCTTACCTATCATGTGCAAGATTCTGGGTTCAATCCCCACTGTCACTGCAAATAAGTGAATAAGATAGGGTATCAAATGTCCATAAGATGGGGAGCATGTGAATAGCAGGTTAAGACAGAGAGTAGAACACTGAAAGGTGTGGTAGGAGGGGGTAGGTGGCCTGGATTGGAATCCTGCTTTTTCCTCTAATTTGTCTCCTCTGGGCCTCAGTTTCCCCTTTGGTAGGCCAGATGCTGATGATGGCTCCATGCACATCTGCCTATTTTGCTTTAAAATCAGAATAAGTTAATTAGTGCTTCTGGTGTTTTAAATGTCTTCATACAAAATCCTATTTTCCTATTTGAATCTTACATAATCTGCTCAGAAGGTAGATTTAATGAGGCATGAATCAGCAAGGGTATTTTGAATATAAAATATCAAATATTGTAAAAATGGAACCAGGAAAGGAGGAACTAATAAAATGGATTTTTTAACCTCATTTTTAGAAAGAAATGTCATCCTAAACATGGGCAAGGAAGAGCTAAACTGAATGGAAGCCTGTATGGTGTGAAAGTCCACTTGATTCCCACTTGTCACTCTGGGGCTGTTGTTGGACAGTGATGGAAGTCTTTCTGATGAGAACTCTGAGAAGTGGGACACTCAGAAGGAGCTGACCAGTTATCCCCTTCTGCTGGGAGTGACTGAAGTATGGCTGCCTTTGGACCACACTAGCTGGGTTCATAGTTATGCATTAAGATATTCCAGCTCCAACTCCATGGTAAACATGAGTCTGGATGATGCCAGATCCTGAGCCCCAGATCTGCCTCCCAGCACTGCCTGGGGCTCTCCTGTGCCCCGTGGGCAAACCTAGGTAGATGCTGGCCATAAACCAACATCAATGTCTAGTTTCTCTCTTCCTTTCTACTCTGGTGGCCTGATTCAAAATCTGATCTCATACAGGGAGCCAGCCTTGCCAGACTTTCTTATACCCAGCATGCCTTGAGGTATCTTACACCCAGCACATGGCCATGGGACCCTCCCTGATTGTGAATGCCAGGGTCCAGCAACACTGCTTGAATACTTCTTACAGAAAGTTTTTAAAAACTAAATATCAGAAAGAGAGAGAGAGCAGGGAGGGAGAGATGGAGAGGAGGAGGGAGGGAGGGAGGGGAAGAGAGAGAGAGAAATTCCATCAGCAGTTGTCTGAGCACAGTTGTGATAGCCAAGGTCTTTAGTGCTTAGTCTTCAGGGTCTTCAGAATACTCAAGTTCCTTGTGGATCTCCAGGATGACAGTAGGGGTCATCACAGTTCCCAAACCACTTTGTCCAAAGGAACCCTTCTAGAAGGTACAGCTCTTGAACTAGGAAAGGTTAAACAGCCACAGATCTTCCGAGTGATCATAAGGCTTGGGCTCACAACCTTTCTCAGTGGGTTCCCTGCTGACCTGGTTTCCCTGTCTTTCCAGCTTACCCCTGGGACAGGTCCAGCTTGAAATCCATGCCCCTGGACCTGCAGCACTTTGAGAAACTTGATGCCTCTGCCTCACAGGTAGGAGAACTGGCCCCCTAGCTAAGGACCCCAAAGGTGACCTGGTCAGGATAACAAACCTACCTCCAGGCCCCTCTTGAACATGTCCTGCATAAGTCAGATGGCTGGTCTATGACTGTCCTTTCACAGCGTACATTTGTCACTTCCTTATGGCTGTGATCAGCTGACAAGAGTCAAGTTAATGGAGGAAGGATTTGCCTGGGCTCACAGCTTGAGGAGTTACAGTCCATCATGGCAGGGAGGGCATCGGCAGTGCAAGCATCAGAGGGCTAGACACATTGCAACCCCAGGCAGGAAGAAAACAGGCAGGAAATGGAACTGGCTATAAAACCTCAAGGTCTGCCTCTAGTGACCTACTTCCTCCAGCAAGCCTCTGCCTCCTAAAAGTTGAGACCTCCTAAAATAATAACACCATCTGGGGACCAAGTGTTTGGCTACATAAGCCTATGGAAGACATTTCACTTTAAACCACAGCAGTGTGAGTGAGGAACAGGAAGCCCAAGGCTTGTATTAAATACATAGGTGGTGTCTTGGTTACTTTTACATTGCTGTGATAAACACCATGACCAAATGCACCTTGGGGTGAAAGGGTTTGTTTCATCTTAAAACCTGTAGTCCATCATCCTGGGACATCGGGGCAGGAAGCCTAGAAGGAGGCCATGGAGAACACTGCTCACCTGCTTCTCCCCATAGCTTGCTCAGCCTGCTTTCTTGTAGAACCAGGAGCACCAGCCCAGAGGTGGTACTGCCCACAGAAAGCTGGGTCCTCCCACCTCAATCATCCGTTAAGAAAATGCACCACCAGCCTGTCCGCAGGCCCATCTGGTAGGGCTATTTTCTCAATCAAGTGTTCCCCTTCCCACATGATGCTAGCTTGTGTCAAGTTGACATAAAACTAGCCAGCATAGATGTGTTTTAGTAGATATTAACCATGACCACTGGCTGCCACAGCTACCCAGATGCCTACCTGGCTGGCCCCAGATGCACAGAGAAAGGCTGAGGTGGCTCTAGGGCCTGAGATTCAACTGGCTAGCCCTGTCCAACTCCCCCATGTCTGTGCTATTTACCCCCAGACAGCCTCTGGCCTCCTGGGCCCTGCCCCAGCTTCCTGCTATAAGTGGCAGTGTTAGACTCCCATGCTCCCCAGGTCCCAGTGCAGACTGCTCTTTCTGCTCACAGGTGACAGTCAAGAGTGGCCTGGACGAGCTGGTGAGTGACTTGATCCAGGAAGCCCACAGCGATCTGGAAAGGGTCCGAGCCATCTGGATCTGGATCTGCCACCACATAGGTACACCACCAGGGGGCAGCACTGGGAGCCCTGGATGCCTCTTCTCTCAGACTCTGGCTTCTGGTGCCCCATCATCAGTTGGAGGAATGAGTTAGGTCAAGAAGTGTTCCCTAGTGCCGGAAGTAATCAAAAACTAACCAAGGAAAGTAAAAGCCACCCTCTAGACCTAGTCCTTCACCCCAAAGCTGCCTTCCTTGGGTCCTAGATTCTTAGTGTGCCTGCTCTACAGAGATGAGATCCTAGGACAGGCCATCTCCAAGAAGGGTGGCCACAGGCTGAGGAGAGCACAGCTGTTTGAAGAGCAGTAACAACACCAGAAGGTCCTAAAACAGCGCCAGGAAGGGCAGTGCTCACCTCCCTGCCTCCCGGTGTCCTCGGCCACTGGCTTCCACCTACTCCAGGGGTTTTCAGAGCCATCTCGGGGACCTAGGCCTGAGCAGCTGTCTCCTGCTTTCCGTAGGACAGACTTGGGAATCTCACCAGGTCCTGGCAAGCCACAGAGGGTGCTATCAAGGGCCTGCTCCCCTTGCTGAGGCCTGCAAATGGGGAGATGGTGACCCAGCAGGTAGTGGGATGGACCCTTGGTCCTTTGCCATGAAGAACAGCCAGAGTTCCCTTCCACCATGATTCCCCCAGGCTCTTTTGTCTTCCAGGTAGAGCTTAGAAAATGTACTCACCTACACAAGGTCTGAACCTGAGAAAGGCTACCTCCTACCCTTACCATCAGCTTCCCCACCCCACCCCCACCCTGGACAAGATCTCATTATGTAGCCCTGACTAGCCTGAAACTCTCCATGTAGACCAGGCTAGCCTTGAACTCACAGAGCTCTGCCCATCTCTGCCTTCTGAATGTTAAGATTAAAGGTCTTCACCATGAAGCCCAGGTGGTTCTCCCTGCTTTGGCCCCAATCTCCCTTTTGTCACCTACACAAAAGGTGACAGGTCCATGTCTGGCTAGGCTGGGCTTCTGTTTGCATTCATGCCACTGTTTCCTCCTGAGTGCAGCTGAGGATGGAGGCCACGTTGTGGGCTCTGTGGCTTTCCCTTCCTCCCTGAGCCAGCCTCAGTCACCTGGGAGCTCTGCGTGCTCACAGCCCCTTCCTCTGTCCCCCAGAGTATGATGTTGAGGCCGCCCAGGAAAAGGACCGCCAAGCCTTCAAACCCACTGACATCCTAAGGACCCAGAAGACCAACTGTGATGGCTACGCTGGCCTCTTTGAAAGGATGTGCAGGTATGAAAGGCAGCCCATGATAGGCTGGAGTCCCTGGGGCTGTCACCCGACGATGTTCTCTTTCTTCTGAAGCCCTCTGTGCCTCTGCCCCCATACCAGGCCTGGAGCTTGAGTTTGCAAACTCTGCTTGGGAATCCAAGTGAGTCCTGAAAAGGTCAATTTCTCCCTTTTAACACCAGCGTAATTGACTTTGGACCATCTGCCGGGCTTCGCCATGCATTAACATAATGGCAGATGAATGCACAAAGATAATTTGGTTATAAAAGGCCCCTTTTCTGCCTGCTCCCTTCACTGTACAACTGAAGGTTAAAAGAGTGGCAAGCCTAAAGGCAAGAGGACAGTGACTGCTGATGCCACAGGGACTGTGACAGGCTGTCCTTTGGGGAGGGGGAGGGGCCTCCGCATGAGGATACCAAAAGTCTACCTGGAAAGGTCCATTGGTAGGAAAGCTTGGTAACCAGGTGGTGGTCCTCGGTGTCTTTGGGCCTATCCTCAGAGCTATGGACTGAGCATATGGTACATCTGCAGGCCTAAATGAGAGAATGGGCCACGCTACTTTCCAGTAACTTCTAGATATTCTCAAGGCTGGAGGAGCCATACTGATCCCTGTATCTCCCTACGATCTCTTTGCTGAAGTCTCCTGGGTTCCCCTAGGAAACAAGCAGTAAGCCCTGGGGTCACCGGAAATGAATGAATGGCTATCTGCTAACCTGTGTGTGTTACGCTAGGTTTCCATTTCATAGCTTTTTACTTCCGTTGATGCTGAGGAAACAAACCCAGGATCTTTCCCATGGAAAGCAAATAGTCTACCACTAACCTACGGCCCTCCTATGGTGTTTGAGACAGAGTCTGGCTATGTAGCTCAGGCTGGCTTTGAACTCACCTCGTGGCTCAGGCTGACTTAAGTGATGGGATTATAGGTATACAGCAACTGTTCTGATAATAACTTTAAAAAACTACTATATTTATTCATGTCTCTATCTCAGGGGAGGGGCAAATACACATCATAGGATTCATGTGAAGATCAGAGGAATTCTCTCCTTGTAACGTGGGGTATTGAACTCTGGTCATTGGGCTTGGTGGCAAGTGCTTTTACTCTCTGAGCCATCTTGTCAGCCCACTAATAACTTTGTTTTAAAAAAATTGCTCACTATACATAATCTACAAAATTGTACAAAACAAGGAAGACTTAGCAGCCCTGAATCCCCGAAGTGGTCATCACAAACGTCCTTGTCCTGTCCCAGACTTGCTCTTAGCACAGTTATTCTCTGTGCTCCTTTCCTCCCTTTCTGCCTTTGTGAACACCCAGCTCCAAATCGTGTGCACAGTAGGCCCTCAATAGGCATTTACAGAGTGACAAGAAGTGGCAGGATATGCCTAGCAAATTATGTTTTCTTTTAAATAACAGAACACCACCAGTATGTTTTCAGTGTCTGCCTGGCACGTTTTAGAATATGGTTGCATTCATAGGAGTTTGTAGGTTTTAGAACACTTGGGTTTCGTTTTTAATTTATTCATTCTTTCACAATTCCATACATATATGATATGCTTTGATCAGACCTCCCATGGTCCCCTCTTGTCCTCCTCCCTCTCCCTCAAATTGAACCCCTTCTTCCCAACAGGCCCCCTCCTACTTTCCCATCTTTGGGGACCACTGTATTTAATTAACGGTTGTCTGCACAAGTGGGAGTTACTTAGTTAAACAAGGGCAATTTACCACTGAAAAATAGGACTCTCCCTCCCCCGGCAACCAGTAACTACCTACAGCTTCACAGAAGGGGCTGAGGCCTCGTGAGCCCCTCCTGCATCCCTGATGGAATGCCATGGACCTGTCCCAGCAGGGCTGGGGTAGCTTCAGCTGCTCTGTGTCCTGACAAGCACTCCCTTGCCTCACCTAAGCCTCCTAGCTTACTGTAGAAGTGCCACTGGACTCCCATCCGGGTCTCCAGGCCTCCGTGCCCTCATCTGTGCGGCAACAGGACTGTTGGGGAGGCGGAACCTGCTATTTGGAGACATTGCTCAAATGAATTTTTGGGGTTTTTTTGTTTTTTTTAACTTGCCCCGACTTTCGTAAGTATAGTAGCATTTTTGTGGAACTTTCCTCCAGACTCTGCCAGCCCACCCACATAGATTCAGAAAACTGACGCTTGCCTTGATTGAAACTGTCAGCTCTCTGACCTAGTCCAGATGCTTAACAATGGTCACATCCTGCCCTGCAGCTGATCATTAAAATACACCCCAACATTTTACATCAGTTACAGACTCAGCTGAGCAGTGACCATGCACAAAATCCCTGGCACTGTGGGGATACTTAACAATGGCTCCCAGTTCTGTGAATTCCCTTAACTGTTGCCATAAAGATCGGGAACCCATTCATGCATGGCTTCCCTAAACCCCTTTGCCCCTGAAATACCTGCCAAACATTTGGCAAATTCATTAGCTGGTTCCTTAATAACTGTAGACATGCAATCCACACTTTGTCGGCTGGGCTGTCAGGGTGGCCCTAATCTTAGAGAGAGTTGTACTCGGAGGCCAGCCTGCTTCCTGCCCAATCATCTGCCTCCTCGCAAGGCCTCGTTAAAGACTGATTTAATAAAGTGCTTTGGTAAGGACCTAGATATTCCCAGGCATTAATCGTTTCCCCCTCGTCTTTCCTGAGTTGCCAGTGTGACATGTTTTGTTAGTCCTGTCCCTCGCCTATGTGGCTGTTGGTCCTGTTTCCTTCTGACTTTTCTATCACTGAGTATTAAGTCTCTCTTTATCCTCCATTGCCCACAGCCTTAATTGATTCTGCCGAATCTTCTTGCAGGGGGCAAGGTTAATTCCCCAGGCTCCTGCCACAGAGTCAGCCTGCAGTAAATTTCCCCCTCTGCAATCACAGCCCTAGCACCACAACTAGCAGATTTTCCAGAGGTTTGAGATAACCAGGAGTTTATTGCCAGTATGAGGCTTTGACACAGAGCAGGCTGGTTGTCACCAATCATATGTCAGCTGCATTTCCACCCATCCATCTTCTAGTGTCACAGGGAGCAAGGACAGAGGCATGCCTGCTTAGAGGCTGCTGCTGGTCAATATGACCGTAGGGGTCGTCCGAGCCTCTTGGGAAATGTGGATCTCTGGAAGCTGGGTAGTCTTTTTTCCTCTTTTCCATCAGTGTCGGAGACTGACCCCAGAGTCCTGTGCATACTAACTGGTTCCGAGAACTCTGTCACTGAACTGCATCTCCAGTCTTCCATTCAGTTTTTACTTGGAGACAGCTCTGAGTCACCCAGTCTGACCTTCACTCTGTAACTCAGGCAGTTTTCCTACCTCAGTCTCCTAAGTAACTAGGACTAAAGGCCTGCACCCCCAGGCCTGGTTTGAACAATTTAATTATTGCCAGCTCTAGCTTTGTCACATAAGACCTCTGAAAGGGACATTGAAAACTCCCCTTCCTATGGACACACTGATGGAGGCCGAGAACCTGGATTCTATTACTACGGCAAATTATCTTTTAGTTTGCTGCGTACCACCAAAAGCCTTACAGATTAAAACAGAATCTTGGTCTGCAAAGGTCCTGGTGTGACTGAAAAGCTCTCAGACTCGGCCTCAGGGTTGTTGTGCCCCAGGTTCACCTTAGCCATTAGCTGGCTGTGTGTCCCCAAGTCCGGCAGCATCTTTCTCTGAACCACTGTTAGACAGGAAATCCGAGATCGTATCTCACGAAGCCAGAGGTGGATAGATGTGTAGCAAGAATAGAGACATGTAAGCTCATACGAAATCAAGTACACACGTTGTGAGAGATGTCATCACATATGCTCTTCCGCAGTATAGAAATCTCACTTTTCCACAAGACGATGAAGAAAATGCATGTGCCATTCGCCATGGTCAGAAGCTTCTGTGTGCAGAGTGTCCCTGCCTGCCCAGCCCTTCACCCACACTGCCAGTAAGGCCTGGCCATTCACAGGCTATAGCTGCATCACACAGTTCCTGTGGCAGGCCTGGGTCATGTCTGTATCAAGCGACCATTGTGGTCTTGGCCCATCACCTCTTCAGTCAGTATCCAGGGACACACACCCAGCGAGATGGTATGCTCAAATCTTTGGTGAGTGATGAGGAAATGCATTCGTGGAAGCTAAGGCAGCTGCAGAAGCCAGCTAGGGTCACCAGGTAATGCTGGCTCCCATTTGCCTGCACCCCTGGCCAGTGCATATTCATCAGGCCCTGGTAGATGGCCAGGTGTGCTTCTGGAACCTCCCAGCAATGGTTGGCTCCCTGGGCCCTGATGCTGACTGGGACTGGCCTACAGCTTTCTCCTGATATTCTGGGTGTCTCTGGAGACTGGCTCATGAGTCCTGCATGCAAGCTGGCTTTGCAACTTCAGACGCACATGTTCCCTGTGCTGGTGCATTGACACTGGTACTGGTAGGACTGTCAAAAGGAAAAGGTTCTACAACCTGAGACAGCTGATTAGATGGCCCTGGACCACGTTTGGTGCTGGCTAGTTAAGCTATTCAGCAGGTGGAAGCGTTCCTCACCCTCGATGGCTTCTTCAACAACTCTCCCAGCTCCTGCCCCAGAGTTCCCAGGGCTTTGCTTTCCATCTGGGGTCTTAGTGGCAGTTCCCAGAGCACTTCCAGACATCTGCTGAGTCTTATCTTTCCCAGGTTTGTGCTGTGTCATGTTGTGCCGTGCCCCGGTACCTACTCCTGTGCTCGGCACACCATTTATACAGTCAGTGGTCTCTCAGTGGCATGACAGGGTCACGGATCATGATCTGACCAGCAACCAGAGAGGCTGGATGCAAAACTACTAGTTCTACAATCATTGCTTTACACATAGGAGTTACTTTGCTTCATATAAAAGCTATGGATTGTTGACAACACTTTACATTGTGACTTCTGTCCAATTCATCTTGCACACGGCTGCCGGGTAATAAAACATGCCCATGCCATACTCCAGCAATGCATAAACTGACAGCTGAGTTCATTTTTCATCTTAGTTCTGCCACAGGCATTCCCCACGGCCCTTCCTCCCTCTCCTCGGCCTGTCAGAGGAGAATTGCCCCCGGAGATCACTTAATGCCAACCGTTCTCTTCGCCCATAATGAGCCTAGTGGGTCACTGCAGGTGACTGTTAGAGGTAGGAATAGAGTCCTTATTTCCTGGCTGCACCCTGTGGCCACCCACACCAGCTTGGAGCAATATGGGTACGTGTCACTGTTGTCCTTTCTTCCTCCTGGGCTGGGCAAGGCCTTTCCTGCTACTCCTCACTTGCTTCTTCAGATCTTCCTTCCTCTTCTTCTCTTGGTGGAAGATTATTCCCCAGCACACTCTTTAAAACAGGCTTCTCCCAGGAGGAGGTCCAGACTGCCTTACATGGATGTCCAGTTTATTCCAGCACCCAGAGATAGTGTAGCTACTATGTGCTCCTCCTGCCTGCCTGCCTGCCTGCCTGGATCCTGGTGCTCTGAGCAGAGATCACAAGCACCATCGAACAGTCCAAAGCCCAGCAGTTCCTCTCACCACTTGCCCTCACTGTGAAATTGGCCATTTCAAACACAATGGTTCTCAGGGCTTCCCTTTGCCCTCCACAGCAGACTAAAACTTACATACACAACATTCTGAGAAACAGTGGGAGACAATTCACTGAAGGATATAACGTAAGTTGTGGGTATAGAGTTTCCCAATTCTAGAAGTGAACAGAATCATTATTTTCAAATGTTGCTATGCTCCCCTTCCCCGCTTTTGTACAGTACTAAAGATTCAATCTTGGCCCCCATGCACGCAAGACAAGCACTCTGCCCTTCAGCTTCAGCCCCCCCCCCAGAAAAATTAAGATGCAGAGGAATTTAAAGAAATAAAACCACCCATAATTCCATTACCAAGAGATCAAGGCTCTCTCCCACCCTTCTCCATGCATACACACATTTCACTCAGAGAGATTGTCTGCGGTGGCTTCCTGCCCTGGGAACCTTCTGTTCTGGGACTCGTTTTGGACATCACCAGCAGAAAATCCTGCCATCGGGGTCTAGCTACTCTTGGTGTCTGTCAACAGGTTGCTCCCAAGTGCTCCTGAAGTATTTTTCACAGGACCCAGCTGCTACAATCTCATGAGATTACCTGGGAAGCCCTGGGGGCCTGAACCCTTTTTGACACCATGAGCAGAAGGACGGGAGCTACCAAGTGTCATCCCCTTAGGAGTCTCAGTGTGAGTGGTCTCAGCAAGGCTAAAGCAGATGTGGTTACATGCCGTCTCTATCTACGTGTGAAGCAATGTGTGAATGAGAATCTCTTCATTTTCATGATAACGCACTTGCCCCAGTGACGCAACAAATGATGTGTTCGTTTTCAACAGTCACTATGGCATTCTTTTGAATACTAGCTGAGTCTTCATCTTCGTGGGGAAACCTCTCCCTATCCTCACAGCAAATGCACGATCATCTTAACAGTACTTTGATGGCCCGTTGTTTAAAGTGACAGGGGGATTCAGACCTGACTCAGGCTGAACAGGCCCTGCTACCTGAAACCCGGCATCAGAGAGAGGCTCAGGGTCAGCACTGTGTGGAGGATGCGGCAGTTGTTGAGACAAAAGAGTTCCACTGAGGAGTCACTTCGGACATCCAGGACTCCGTAGGCTTGTGTATTTACTATACCGGTTCTGCAAGTGGCAGGAGGGAATGCAAGGAAAGTGTTGGGGCAATGAAACCTTTCCCAATTCACAGAGGAAACACCAGGGCATCGGCAGCACTGGGGCCAGCAGCTTCACGTGGGTCAGACTGGCACTGCTCATTCTTCTATAGCCATGTTGGGGGAGGAGCTGGTAAAGAGGAGGGCCAGCAGGTGTTGGGGAGGCAGGGCCTTCAGGGGCCTTGCTGATTCAGCCTTGGAGTGTTGGCTACAGCCCAGACCTGATTTACGTCCCCAAAAGTGACTGGCACCCATCTCCCACAGTCCAAGTTCCCCAAAAGTTGTGCCTACTTTGCTGTTAACAATAGGAATACCAGGGCTGGGCGGTGGTGGCGCACGCCTTTAATCCCAGCACTTGGGAGGCAGAGGCAGGCAGATCTCTGTGAGTTCGAGGCCGGGCTGGACCGATAGCCTCCGAAACAATACAGAGAAACCCTGTCTCGTAAAAAAAAAAAAAAATAGGAATACCCTGTCAAAAGGACCCCAAAGCTAGGGTCAGTCAGTCAATGTTTCCACAGGACAGATGAAGACTTCAAAATGGTGACCGTCTTAGTTAGGGTCACTATTGCTGTGATGAAACACCATGACCAAAGCAGCTTGGGGAGGAAAGGTTTATTCAACTCAGTCTTCCACATCACAGTTCATCATCAGAGGAAGTCAGGACAGGAACTCACGCAGGGCAGGAACCTGGAGGCTATAGTTGATGCAGAGCCACAGAGGGGTGCTGCTTACTGACTTGCTCTTTATGGCTTGCTCAGCCTGCTTTCTGATAGAACCCAGGACCTCCAGCCCAGGGATGGCACCACCACATCAGTCTGGGCCCTCCCCCATCAATCACTAATTAAGAAAATGCCCAACAGGCTTGCCTACAGCCCAATCTTATGGAGGCATTTTTTCAACTGAGGCTCGCTCCTCTGATGACTCTAGCTTGTGTCAAGTTGACATAAAGCTAGTCAGTACAGCGGCCCAGGCAGTCATCGGTGAACGACATAAATGCATGGTGCTTTCTGTTCCCTGTTCATAAAAGCCAAAACTGATGGCCAGGTATCCTGGCAGTCGGCCCATTCTGTTTGTTCAGTTATGGATACACCAGTCTGCCCACCCTTCCAGTCCCCATGCAGATATGCTTGGGTGAGCATAGGCAGGTGACCCATCTCAGCTACCCTCTGTCTCCTACCACCAGCACCCTCCCTCCCAAGGCGTCCTGGATTTCCCAGCCTCTGCAAACAGCTCTTTCATGTTGGTTTTCTTCCAAGAACATCTCAGTTTCCCTGTTCCCTGTGTTCTTGAGGCTGCCCTTTCTCTTGTCCTCATTTTTCCTCCTGAGGAGCTGTGCATCGGATCCTGTCAAGCAGGCCCTGGGGAGACTTCAGAAGTGAGCTGAAGTGTCTCAGGGGAGTACCAAGCAACAGGGCTACAGCCAGCCTTCACAGGCAGGGCCTGCTAGCACTATGGCCTCCTGTCCCCACTCCCAGCACTCAAGCCCCTTCTCAGACCCATGTCCCACCCCCAGGATTGCTGGTGTGCAGTGTGTCACCGTGCCTGGATACTCCAAGGGCTTTGGCTACCAGACTGGGCAAAGCTTTTCTGGAGAGTTCGACCATGCCTGGAATGCTGTGTACCTTGAGGGCCATTGGCACCTGCTGGATAGCACTTGGGGCAGTGGCCTGGTGGACACTACCACCTCCAAATTTACCTTTCTGTAAGTACGAGACTTACCTTTGCCAAGTGTCTGGTCTGTGTGTGGGGGGTGGGGGGGGGGCACAGGCTGAAGGAGGGAGGCGTCTGGGGGGGAGGGAAGGGCCAAGTGGGAGAGGATGGTTAGACAGCCTTACCTAGCTATGGTCACCTTCCCCAAAGCTGGCTCTAGATCACCTGTGAGGAGCCAGAGTTTCTTGTCACCTCACCCTTCCATGAGTACATCCCTCATTAGATTCCCCATGGCCCCTCCCAGCTAAACCCAGGAGCCCCTCAGGTTTGCCCCAGACCATAGGTGAGGCAGGGTGGGGCTAAGGAGATGCTTCATCTCCTCCTCCCACTTCCTGTTCTCGGAAGAGGAAGAAGGAAGAAGGATGTGGTTGGCAGAGAGGAGAGCTGCAGGTGGGACTGAGCCGCCCTGGGCCCCCGTGGTACAGGCTGGACTATGACCATCCTTCAAGGCTTGACGTAAGCTACAGCCAAACATGACTTGTCCCTCGGCAGCCTTGGTCCCCTTTATTCAGGAAACTGCCTGTCCTCTTTGATGTTTGCAAGGGAGACCCTGGCACCCCGACACCCACTCTGTACACATGGGTTACTCTCAACAGTGTCCTCACTAGGTAGAGCAAAGCCTCCTCAAGCCCAGGCTGGGCCTCTCTTTTCTTCCCTCTGTCTCTGCCTCTGACCAGTCCCAAGGAGCCACAGAATCCCCCCGCAGCCCCCCAGGATGAGGGACAAGAAGGGTCTAGAAGAACTAGAGCACCTTGGCTCCCAGCTCCCATGCCTCACTGCCCACACCTGCTCTAAGGGTCACGCTTTTCCTCCTTTCAAATTTCTTTCGAGCATTAAACACAGAGGGAGCCATCTTTTCTACCCCACCCTACCCCTAGCATCCTAAAGCTCTGAGAGCAGGCCACAGGTTCATGCTGTGGCCTTGTCTCATAAGGAGCCTCGGATCCTGCGTGGCCTCAGGGTCTGGATACCGCTATTGAACCTCCAGTGCCCACGTTAGGACCACAAATGGTATGGCTTCCATACTGCTGTCAGCAATACCCTCCAGTGGTTGGCTCAACTAAACACAGGCGTCCCAAGCTCCCCTGTGAGGTGCCCAGATGTGGGTGAAGGTGGTCAGGTCCACTGCTACACATGGTTCCTAACCAGGTCTTTCTCCACTCCAGCTACAACGAATTCTACTTCCTCACCCACCCTGCCCTGTTCATCGAGGACCACTTCCCAGACAACAAAAACTGGCAACTGCTGAAGCCCCCTCAGTCTCTGAGGCAGTTTGAGAACAACATGTACCACAAGAGTGAATTCTACAACAAGGGCATGCTGAGTGCCCACCCAGAGACATCCATGATCCGAACAGGTAAGGAGAGGGAGGCCCGCAGGCAGGGCACCAGTAGTGACCACAGCCACTCCCTAGAGTGAACCAAGGAAAGCAGACCCCCAAGCTTAGCATCTCCCACGGCTGGCCTGAACTGACATCTGTCATCCCCAGACACACCATGGGGACCATGGCAGGTGGATGCTGGCACACTCTGAAATGCAAGACCTCATCCCAGAATCAAAGGGTTCTCCCTGAAGGACGGTTTCCCATGATTCTTTGAGAATCCAGAACCCGGTGCTGAGCTTGGCACACAGCAGAACTCGGGAAGGCCCACGTCCACATTCTCATCAGAGCCCTACCCTACCTGCCAGCACCGGCTCTGCCATCCGGGGGCCTCCATGCATCCCAGACATGAGCTCCTAGAGGCAACCGACTTGGGTGGCCTGAGGGATGATGGCGTTGACCCCAGCCTACACTGTGAGGTGATGGAGTAAGGGGACAGGGCAAGGGGTGCAGCCCGGGAGCAGGTACCTCTTGACCTGGATATAGAGCTCCCGCCGCCTCTGGCAAGTAACAGCCATGTGGTAGCTCCAGCTGCCGAAGCAATGGCAAACGGCTGCTCACTTTGAATCTCATTTCCTGCACCTGAGGCTGCTAGAGGTCTGAGGTCTCTATTGTGAGACATTAAACCACAAGAAAGACTCAAGGAGACCGCAACAGCGTGGTAGTCGTGTCGCTGAGCTGAGTTTGCCTTTTTGGGAGGCAGAGAAATGTAAACACCAGATTTCTTAATTTATACTAATCTAAACGCAATTTCATATTCATGCTGCATATTGAAAGAATATTTCTTGGTGGATGTGAGTTGCCTTAAGAACAGAGATGGGAGAGAAGCAAGAGACGGAAGCTGGGGTGGGGAGCGAAAAGGAAGGGAAGGAGGAGAGCCTCAAATGGGGGCCAGCAGGGGGGAGGAAGAAGCAGGGAGGGTAGAGGGGTGCCAGACATGGTCCTCCAGAAGCCTTTGGGGTCCCCAGTACTCCCCTCGCCTCCCAGATGTTCAGCGTACTTCTGCCAAGGCTTCTCTGGGACAGGCACCAAGCTCCTCCCAAAGAGTCCACAGCCCAGGCAAAGGCAGAGGATGGAAAAGTGCTCCCATGATTCATCTGAAGATGGTGGGCTCTCTGGAAGGGTCCCCCAGCCCCCTGCCAGCATGTCCAGCATGTCCAGCTCACCTGAGGGCTGGAGCAGGCTCTGTGCGGCCAGGTCTTTAGGGTGGGTCCTCAGCAAGTCTGGAGTGGAGGATTAACAGTGAACACGAACCAGACAGCCTTCTCTTTGCCAGCCTCCATCCATGAACAGGCTTGGAGAAGCTGCTGGGGCACTGGATAGGGTGTCCAGCCTCTAACAGAAGGTAAGGCCAGGCTCTCAGAGCAGCCACTGTCCTGGGGAGCCAGGGAAGCCCGGACAGAAAAAGCCCTTGTGGGCTGCAAAAGCCAGGAGAAAATCAATGACCTAAATAAAGGACTACAAAAGTGCAGGTCCGGGTGGGGCTGCAGAGAGAGTCGATGGACGGATGCACCGACCTGCCAAAGCCCAATCCAGAAACACAGCTACGGCACTCCTATGTGAGAAGCGAGCATGGGGAGGGGAGAACAGGAAACACCCTTTAACACTCCTGCACACGGCTCCCCGGAGCGAAGCCCTTCCAACTGGTAAGGTAATGTGTTCATGTGACAGCCGTTGGCACTATAGAGATCACTCCTGGGAGAGACATGAAGGCAATGCGTGAGAGTTGCAGGGCTGGGGAGACAGCTCGGTGTTTAAGAGAGCTTGGTGCTCTTCCACAGGACCTGAGCTCTGTCCACGGCACCCGCATTCTGTAGTCAGCTCAGTCACTTGTAACCCCAGCTCCAGAGGATCCAGCGCCCTCTCCTGGCCTCCGCGGGTACCTACACACATGCCGCATTCCCGCAAGGACATGCGCATAAAAGTCAATCTTTTTAAAAAAAGAGGGATAGTTGGAGGAGATGGCACCTCTCTGCCCTCTGAGCCCTTTCCCTGCTCTGGAATTGGGTGGTATACCCAGACAGGTTTCCCCTGGTGTAAACCAAATGGGCTAATGAAAGAAAGGAGCACACACACATGGCCCGAGCAGGGTTTTTCTAGAGCTCCCCTCCCCTCTCCCCGCCCCAGGTATCAGCTCTTCCAAAAACATTCACCTAAACGAAACAGAAGAATAGCACCTCCAGTGACATCACATTGGTAAACTCAAGCCTGTTAGAGACATTTACGCCAAAGACGTGGACACACACTGTGACACCTTCCCCCCTAGATCTAGTTGTTAAGCATTCACCAGCACACACTGGACCCATGTCCTCTGACCCAGACTTCCTCTCCACAGTGAATGGGAAAGCCACGGTCACCATCCAGAGCTGTGCCCCAACGCTGTTCATGTTCATGCTCAATGGCAAGCAGGAGCATGGGCTACTGAGCCTCAGGAAGGACGGGATGAAGCTGGAGGTGTACCCTCCAACCATGGGCACCCACAAGCTGCAGATCTTTGCCAAAGGCAACTCGGAAATCTACAGTTCGGTGCTTGAGTACACGCTCAAGTGCAACTACGTGGACCTCTCTGTCCGACTGCCCGCTGAGCTTCACCAACCCGTGGGCCCCAGCTGGTTCTCAGAGCAGATGGGAATCACGAAGCCCTCCCACCCTGACCCCATCATCCACACCAGTGATGGCCGCTGCTCCATCAGCTTTGGCGTAGAGGAGGGCATCAGCGTCCTGGCATCCCTCCATGGAGACGACGGCCCCATCACGGAGGAGACGCAGCGGCGCTACATCTTCCAGTTGAACCGCGAGAAGAGGACAGAGCTGAAAGTCCAGCTGCCCCACGCTGGCAAGTTTGCCCTTAAAATCTTCGTGAAGAAGAGGCAAGAACAAGGCAACTTCGTCTTTGTCTTCAACTACCTCCTGTGCTGCGCCAACACCAAGGTGAACTGGCCTATGTTCCCCGAGAGCTTTGGCAACTGGGGGCAGGGCAACGAGCTGCTGGAGCCTCTCTCGGGGGTGCTCCCCGCCAACCGCAACATACCCTTCAAACTGAAGCTGCACGGCATCGCGAAAGCCCTCGTGAAAGGGCAGGACACGTGGCCCCTGACCCTCAACCCCGAGGGGTACTGGGAGGGCAGCTGCAACACGGCTGGCTGTCAAGAAGTCTACGTCATGGTGCTGGAGAATGCTAACCACAACTTCTACTCCTACATCCTGAAATACAAAGTGAATGACCAGTGAGGGGCGGCAAACCCACAGCCTCCGAGGGCTAAGGCCCGCCCCGCCCAGGGAGGGCCCAGGCCAAGTGCAGAGAGCCTGGGACGCCACTAATCTGCATGAAATCACTTCTAGGCCTCTGCCTCGATCTCCCTGCTCTGCCACAGGCATTGAGGAGTTTGTATTGCTGATGGCTTCACTCAGTGTGGTTGTGGACGAAGGGACAGAGGCAAAGGCCCTTTAGAAGGAAAAGGTGCTATGAAAATCCGAGGTATTGTGAAGTGTATCCCACGCCGGTGCCTGCTCCTGTGTTAGTACCGTGTTGTAGAGTTGGGTGGGAAAGCAGAGTTGTTGCCCGTGCTGAAAGCTTTCCACACAATGCCTAGAGAATGATGCTTGAGGCTGAATCTCTCAGAGAGAACACTGTTTTTCCACTCCTTCCGGCCCCGGGGAAAGTTGGGCCCGCCCATCTTCCATATCCCCGGCGCCTCCTAGGTAGCCACTTCATGCTCTACAAGAGCTTGAGGAAGGGAGATGGAGGAAGGAGGCCAGCTGACCGTCAGCCATCTAGAGGCTGTTCTCTCCCAACCCCTGTGAGTCTCTGGGATGCGACCAGGGCAGAGAACAGCCGTGTGCACACAGGATGTCCTGGGTGGGGACCCAGGATGGAGTGGTGTCTTTGGAAGTCTCGCAACCCGAACTCAAGTGAAGAGCCCCCGATTCCGTGTACCTACCAGAGTTCAGCCCAGGGCCTGGGGATGCCTTCGCAGTCTGAGCCCAGGTCCATCGCCAGCTTTCCACAGGGGCGTCAATGTCTACACGACCAGTCAGGAGCCTGGCTGATGACCATGAACTGAGACCCGAGTCCTGGGCAGGCAGATGAGTCCCAGAGAAACAGCAGCAGAACCAGGGGCAGTATCTGATAATGCTGCTTCCAGGACCTTACAAGAAAAAAATAAAAACAGGCTGACGGGACCACCACGTGCCCCTGGTGGGAATGCCTGTGCCTGTCTCTGAGAAAAAGCCCTATCATAGCCATTTTCCCTCCTGTCTTTCTCTGAGATGACAACCTCTGCCCTGAGCTCAGCCTTCTGTTGGGAACAGTTGAGGGCCTCTTCTTGCTCGGGCCTGTCCTAAAAAGCCTCAGCTGCCTAGCTGGCCCTCAGCAACACCTGAGGCTGGTGTTTCCATGGCAACGGCTGAGGGAAAGGCAGGCAGCAAGCAGGGAAGGCCTGAGAGAGGACACAACAATACCGTCCCAGTGCATGGAAAAACGCCAACGTGGTCCCCACCAAACTTCTGGGTCCGAGGAGTCTGCTCGCTCTGCCTGTCTCAGAGCTCCAGCCCTCACTTCTGGGAGTCACCCCAAATGTCCTCAGGCTCAGATGCAGCCAGAGCCCGCCTGGAATACTCATAGCCTCCTTCTCTGCATGGCCCGGTGTTGGATTCTGGGTTAACACGAAAGACTCCGCCATAGCCATCCAGACCTCTGGGCGGGTGGTCTGCCAGGTGGGGCCTATTCGAAGATCCAGAATTCTAGAACTTCAGTCCCTCATCCCCTTTCAGCCCCTGCCCCACAGGTCCCCGGCTGCCACCCTCCACCAGGCTGGGTGGCCTCACTTGTGATTAGCATGGCTGCTGGGGGGCTGAGCTGCCTTGGCTTGTGTCCCGGGTCCTCTGGCAGTCTTTACCTGTCAGCATCTTGTCTCTCACTCCAGGAAAACACGCAAAAGCCAGGGAGGCATCCCCACTACACGGTGGAGTGCAAACGGTGGAGTTACACGGTGGAGTGCAAACGGTGGAGTTTGCACCGCCTGGAAACAGCCTTTCCTCGCCCCTTTTATTTTATGAGCAGAAAGAAGTGTGCTGTTTTAACAAAATAGTAAGTGCTAGGATTCCTGCCACACACTAGACACAGCCCTCACTGCCGCTGCTAGCCCTGCAGAAGACGATACCCATGTTTTTCAAAACAGCATAATTAATCCACTGGGGAACTTAGAGAGGATTTTACCCCCGCAAAACAGGAGCTGTCCTCAGCACCAGAGACCCAGGCCGGCCTCTCCCAGCCCTCGTGAGTCATCTGCACGCCCCTCCCTCCTCATTTAACCAGGCAGCCCCTTTGTCAAGGCAGCTGTAGGAACACGCAGAAAAAACGCCTGCATTTCTTTCCACTGAAGTAAAGATACATGAAACTAAATCCAATCTTCATGAATTTTTACACGCATGCTGCTCAGGCTGGAAATTTGGAGGTTGCGTTTTTGAAGGCTTTTTATTCAAAACCCCCTCTTTGTCTCCCCGTCCGCGAGTCCGGGGGGCCGAGCGAATGGCACGAGCGCCCCCTGGTGGTCTATATGCGAAGTTGCCACCGCTGCAAACCCCCAACTGGATCTATGATTGTTTAAAATCACTAGATGCTTCCTAGGCCCTCTTGGATACGCCGAGGTCAGCGTTGCCATGCAGACTGTGAGAACAGCCTGGGGAGACTTCCTGGCTGGTGTGGTGAGAAAATACAGAATGTGATACGAATTCAGAGTGTTTTGCCCAGAAATCTTTTCCTGAGACAGAAACCCTGGACACAAGCTTGCCTGGCCAAGGTCTCTTTTATCACGCTCATTGCTGTACCAATGACAGGCTGAAACTGATCAAACCCAGCATTTTGCCAGGCAAACCCCAGGATGGGTGCCAGGGTGCAGAAGGGTTGGGCGTGGTGGGGTAAAGGGGTGCAATTAACCTCTTTTCAGATTGCTTCAGAAGTGCCTCCAGCTCAGCTGGACTGCTCGCCGTCTGATTGTGAATATTCTGAGTTCTCCGTATGTCTCATTGTCCCACCAGGATGGACTTCTTAAGGCCCGCTGAGATTAAAGAGACCGTAAATAGATTAACTGAAGCATGAAGGATTTGAGCTAGATATAAAGAGCCATTTCCTGTAGTGAAGCAGGAGGGGCACGTTGCCAATAAAGTCTGCAAAATTCTCAAAGGACCTGAAAAGGAGAAAAGTTTCCCCGGTGTTCTGGAGCTTTCTTACTGAAGTGGTTGGGTTGTCTCTTCACTAGTTCTTGAGTCACACTGGCTGGCCACAGTAAACGTGGGGTTTTATGGTGTGACCACATGACTTAGGAGTGTCAGATTTCTAAGGCACGTACTTTATCTGAGGTCTGTCATTTCTTTTCATTTGGAGTAAGTATCGAAAGCTGCAGAGGTGACTGTTTCTTCTAACGTGTGCGCTGAACTGTGTGTTGAAGATGCTCTCCTCATATTGTTGCTGGGGTTGTTTTTCAATAAAATTTATATTCATTTTTATCCAACAATGTAATTATCGATCCATCCTTATCGCTGCTCTCACAAGGAGGAAAGAAAAAAAGCAAGAAAAAGACACTTTCATGTTCAAAGAATGCTTTTAAAAAAGAAATCAATGTCCCTGCCATTTGAACGTGACGGCGAGATGCAAATGGGATGTTAGGCAAATAGCTATTCCACATTAAAGAAAACATAATTAGGTCAGCCCCAGCCCTCTGCGGCCCACGTGCCTTTGAAGAATCTAAAGCCGTGTTTCTTTCATTGAATCTTGTTTAACTTGAACATCTTAAAGTCAGTCCAAATTTCTTTTTATAGTGGGAGAAGAAAAATGTGCCAAAAATTTGCCTGTCAACCTACTTTTTGGCTTTTGAATATATAATATATTTCCTGATATTCATATACATACAAGAAACTTTCCAGGTTGCCTAAACCGATTACTCATAAATTAGACATTTAGGGGACTAAAGGAAAAAAATGAAAATCCAGACACCTCTGAGAAATTGCTGTAACCATGGAAACCATTCTCATAGCTGTAGCGTGAAGGGCAAAAAGATTTGTGTTCCCAAATCTGGGCTTATCACATCCCTCATTGCTAGACACAAAAATGAGATGTGTTGTACTCCATCCTTGGGGTGGGGTTCACAGCGGACTGTGGTCCATGGGCACAACAGCTCTTTAAGGACATGCTAAGGAGACGTCTGAACAAATAGTCTTCGAGTCTCCAGCCGGTAGGACTAACTCTTGAATTATTGGAACAGGCTGGAAGTTTCCGCCCAGGGGCTGGAAGAGAATGACCTCCAGTGCTCCTTCCAGCCCAGAGAGTTTTCCAAGCTGTGTCTCCAGGAACAGATGATGGCAGGCACCAGCGTGCAATTGTCAGTTAAACAATATCTGAAGGGCCCTGCTGTGTTAAGAGCCTGCCCCCTAAGCCCTTGGCACTCTGCACTGCAGGCCTTCATCTTTCCTGAGGGCAAGGGATGCTCAGAGCATAGCAGATGGACCACAGGGAAACAGCAGCCCCGATGTAGGTTCTCTATGGTTTGCGAACAAAACTAAAGAAGACTAAGAGCTCCTGGAACAGTCCTCCCTTGGGCATGTCCCTGTGTGTCTCTTTTCTCCACCTTGTTCTCAGACCTCAGTTCAGAAAAAAGAAGTATTCCTAAACCACCCAGATTCTCAAGGAAGATGCATAGGGGTGTCCCATGACCCCTTCATCCTCCAGGATAGATCTGCTCCTCTGGAGGCTTCTCGGGTTTTATCTCATTGCCTTTGCATCAACCCAGAGTGTTCAAGCCCCCACACTCCCTCGGCACCACTGTTTGATCCTCTGTCAAGGATGAGCCCTGCCTATGCCATTACTGTCTATACCGACCCGAACCTGGACACTGTCCCCACTGAGTTGTAAGACAAAGTGGTTTTCGTGAGAAACTTCCCAAGGAAGCTCGCTGTCTCTGGAGAAGGCATCTGGTGGGCAGGGGAAGTTTTCAAACAAAAATTGGTTTTAAGTCTAAAATCCTACTGCCTGGAACATACTTGATCCCACTTGATCTCACAGGCTAAGCTGGGCCAGACCTGGTTAATACTTGGATGGGAAACAAAGGCTGATTTTAATAAGAGAATCAAGAGAGTGCTCAGTCACCTCCTTCACCTCTAGAAACAATGTGCCAAATACTTCACTCCCGGGACAGGGTAAAGACAGCTCTTCTCATCACAGTCAGAGAGAGTGGCTGATGGCTGACGAAGGCCCATAGAGGGAAATCTCCCCCCAGCTGAACGAGCAGTGAGCAGCAGCTGTAGCTCAGGCTGCCCAGCAGTGACTCACAGGCTGCCTCCCTGTGGTCCTCCTGGACCAGCAACAATACTGATCACATATTTAGGAGCAGCAATCAGAGCCAGTGCTGAACGCTAAGAACACAGTGTCCCAGAGGCAATGCCCTGCAACAGGAAAGGCCAGCAACCGGGACCAGACAGACAGACAGACAGACAGACAGACAGACAGACAGACAGACAGTGCTTCAGACTGAGGTGGGATGTGGTAGGAGTCTCCAGAGCCAGGGTTGTGGCAACAGCCCCCAGAAGAGTCAACAGGTGACACCGCAATCCACATACCGTCCTAGCACCCTGCTTTTGCACACGCTGGCGCTCTCTCCCTCTCTCCTGGAAAAGCCTAGTCCTCAGCCATCCTCTGGGATCACTCCACATTTGTGACTCAGAACTCTGCAGGACTCAGTGATGAGAGGGGATCAGACGTTCTAGTGGGCTACAAATTCTTCATATATATATATATATATATATATAATTGAAACTATTTTTCAGGCAATATATTTTGGTTACAGTTTCCCCTCCTCCCAGATCCTTCCAACTGCCCCATCCACCCACTTCCACACCCCCTTTCTTCTCACTTTTTAGAAAGCAAACAAGATGGCAAAAAAATAGTTAAAAAAGAAACACACACACACGTACATACAAATGATAAAAATACAAAAATTAGACAAAAAATACCCAAAGCAGGATGAGACCAAAAAAGTCTAAAAAATGCCATTGGTTTGGTTTGTATTGGCCTTCTACTGCTGGGCCTGGGGCCTGCTCTTAAGTGTGGGTTAATGCAACCAGTAGGATTCCACTAGAGAAAACTAATTTTTCTTTTGCATGTGGGTCTCAATTGCAGATAGCTTCTTGGTTAGGTATCAGAGCCCTAGTCCATTTCCCCTTCTCAGTACTGTGAATTCTTGGAACACATGCTTTGGTTCTGCTTTTTGGCACTGATTGGCTGATGGGTAAATGCTCAGTAAGTTTTTCCTTAGGGAACGGAGAAGGGGAGTGAAGGAAGGTGAGCAGCCTCCCAGCTGCCAGCAGCCATTCCCAGAGCATTTGTAGAAGGCCATTTTCATGTTCCCAGGACTGGCCCTCAGGCCTTCACTCAGCTCTGCCTGCCACAGCCTGGATGGTGAGAAAGAGAGCCCAAGATTCTCAGGGAAGGATCCCAACCCAGGCAGCTGACTTGGGAGGACTGAGGGGTGGCCAATGGTGACCTTCACAGACATGAGTGACCCATTTTATCAAGACCAGCTATCTCAATTTATCCTTGAGGCTCTAGAGAGACATATACTGAGCCTGGTCTGCAGAGCCAGTTCCAGGACAGCCAAGGCTACACAGAGAAACCCTGTCTCAAAAAAAAGAAAAGGAGAGAGACAGACAGACAGACAGAGACAGAGACAGAGAGAGAAGAAAAGTGGGCATATGCTTAGTCTGTGGAATGTCACTTGAATGCAAGATTTCTGTGGCAAGAGAAAGGTGACCACCGCCCCAGTGAAGGCAGGCTCAGGGACCCCTCAGCTGTGAATGACAGTGAAGTTGCTGTTCCCACATCTAAGCTTGGCTGGTTTGTTAAAAGGAGATCTGTAACAGGATCTGATGTTCCTGTTTGGCCCAAAGTAACACAAACACACTAAGGCTCCCATTAATTGCATCCTCACCTACCCAAACAGAGCTCAGCCAACAAACCTAACTGCAGGAGAGTCTCTCAGACCCCAGGAGAACCTATTATCTTATGAAAAAAGCTGCAAAATGGCCAGTTTTGCTAATTGGGACTAAAAGGCACGATATTTTCTACTGGCAAAACAGGAATATGTTAGGCTGTCACAGAAGAACTCATTATCCCTCTCCCTGCCCTCACCCATATCCCTCTCTCATATGTATGTGGTATGCATTTGTGTATGTGTGTTTGCATGTATGGGGACACACTTAGAGGTGTGCACATGTGTGTACATGTATGTGAAAGCCCCAAGTGGGCATTAAGAGTCTTACTCAACCACTTTCCACTTTATTGAGGCAGACTCTCTCAACTGAACCCAGAGCTCACTGATCAGCTATTGTAGACAGCCAGGTTGCCCTGGGCATACCCCAGCCCTGTCTCCCCACTTCTGGGATTACAGGTACCTGTTCAACTTTTACAAGGGTCCTGGGTAATCAAACTCTGATCTTCAAGCTTGCGCTTTATCCACTGGGCCATCTCGTCCCTGCTCTTGGATTTTTTTTAAACAGGGTTGCTCTTGGGGTTGAGTGGAAAATTAACAGAAAGCTTGATTGACTTGGTGGCAAGGGGCAGCAGCGAGGGTCTGTGTGTGAAAGGGACACCTGAACAGAAAGATCCACCAAGATCTCTTAGAGGGACTCGGGAGATGATTCTGCAACCTGCTTGCTATGCAAACATAAGGAACCAAGTTCGATCCCCAACATACATGGAAAAGGTCAGGTGAAGGGGCACCACAAAGGTAGAGATGGACAGATCTCTGGAGTTTATCAGCCAGCGAACCTAGCCCAGCTGGCAGTTCCCAGTGAGAAACTTCATCTTAGCAAAAACGTAAATGGCACCAGAGGCTGATTTCCTATAACATGCAGGCACATACATGTACACATATTCTCATAGGTAGTGTACACATGCACACACACACACACACACACACACACAGATGCTTCCTCTGTCAAGTAGACTGTATAGACATTTAATCATTGCTGCTTGGACTAGGTTTATGAGGACTCTGGGGTCCCCTCTGAACTAGTAGGAAAGAGCCTCACGGTAACCAGTGATCACTGGATGGGAAGGGCAGTGTGCACATATTAACCAACACTGACTAATAGCTAAACAGGAGCCAAGACCAAAAGAGTGAAGAAAGAGCCTCATGGGAAATGCTGACTCCAAATAAGTCAGACCACTGCCTGAGAACCAGCTAGAATCCAAATAGTAGGTCCCTGGATGCTCTGGTGGGCCTTTCACACCCTTGGGCTGTGGGCATGGTCCATGTAGTACCCCACTTAGGGCACATCACTCCGGAGAGAAATTGGAATGCTGGAACCAAACTCACTGGCTATTGTATCTGGCTACTGTATTAAGCACTGCCCTCTATTCAGAGTGAACAGTGATCTGAAGTGAATATTTACTGGCCATTTCAAAATGAAAATAGTAAACCACTGTGTTGTTTACACGGCTGTTGACCAAAGAAGCTGT